AATGAAAAGTCATCTTCCTGACCACCCACAGATATATGTGCCCATAAGACTGAGATGTAATCATGAGCTTACATATATATATGTATCTCTATATAAAGGCCTTTAGTCTATTTTGTATATATATATATATATATTATATAGTATAGTATATATACATATATGTATTATATAATATAGTATATATATTACATACACACACATATATGTGTGTGTGTATATATATATATATATATATATATTACATGAAGATGCATGGTAATGGGGAGATATCATAGCTGTTATTGCACAAGAAGTTTACAACAAGAAACAGCCAATCATTCAAAAGACAATAACTCCAACACACCTTGTGTGATGGCTTAATCCTCTACCAGAACCCTTGGTTCTGATAGGTTTACCTTTTGAACATTAGTTGTCACCTGCTGTATACTCCCTTGACCTTTTGCTATCAGCAGCTCTCAATAGTTTTTAACTCTTTACTCTTTGGGGGCCCACCACCCAGCTCCCAAATAAATACACAGAGACTTACTCTTTCTTATGAATGACCAGCCTTAGCTTGGCTCATTTCTAATCAGCTTTTCTTAATTAATTATCCCATCTACCTTTTGCCTCTGGGCTTTTACCTTTTTTCTTTTGTTTTTGTTTTTGTTTTTTGTTTTTCAAGTTTCTCTGTGTAAGAGCCCTTGCTGTCCTGGAACTCACTCTAGACCAGGTTGGCCTCAAACTCACAGAGGTCTGCCTGCCTCTGCCTCCTAAGTGCTGGGATTTAAGGGGTGCACCACCATGCCCGCTGGGCTGCTTTTACCTTTTTCTGTTTCTGTATATCTTTTCTTTCCTTCTTATTCTATGTCTGGCTGGGTGGCTGACCCCTGACGTCTTCCTCTCCTCCTCTTGATCCTCCCTCTGCTTGATCTTTCCTTCTATTTATTCTCTCTGCCTGGCAGCCCCACCTATCCCTCTCCTGGCTGTTTACCTCTTTATTAGACCAGTCAGGTGTTTTAGGCAGGCAAAGTAACACAGCTTCAAAGTTAAACAAATGCACCATAAAAGAATGCAACACATCTTTGCATCATTAAACAAATATTCTACAGCATAAACAAATGTAACACATCTTTATTAATATTCTATAACACAGGAGGAATTACTAAACAGAATTCCCATTTACTTTTGTCTGTCTGAAAAACTTATTTTAAAGCCTAAACTTCATGAACTTCTGCATCTTGGGGATGCCTCACAAAAAGTTGGTTGTTTATGCCTGCAGTTTTTGTTTTTGTTTTTGTTTTTGTTTTTTTAACTATGCCCTTTGGGGGCCTGCCACCCAGCTCCTAAACAAATACATGGAGACTTATTCTTAAGAATGCTCAGCCTTAGCGTGGCTTGTTTCTAGCTAGCTTTTCTTAAATTATCTGTCTACCTTTTGCTTCTGGGCTTTTACCTTTCTTTATTCTATATGTCTGTCTGTCTTTCTTACTCTGTGGCTAGCTGTGTTGCTGGGTAGCTGCCCCTGGTGTCCTCCTCTCCTCCTTTTCTTGCTCCTCCCTCTTCTCTTTTCTCCTATTTATTCTCTTTGCCTGCCAGCCCCACCTATTTCTATCTCCTGCCTAGCTATTGGCCATTCAGCTCTTCATTAGACCAGTCAGGTGTTTTAGGCAGGCAAAGTAACATAGTTACATTCTAGGACTAACAGAAATAACAGCCCAGACCACCACATGCTAGTCTCCTGAATTAAGGTAAATTCTACAAGGAGATACCACCTAGGTCAAGTGGACCTCAAGTAATAGCTTTGCACAATTTAGCTCGGACCCTCCTTTTCTTACAGCCTTACTAACTTTATAGAACTCTAATTCCTTACCTAACCACTTCTAGGAATATTTAGATAACCTTCTGCACTGACATCTATGCACAGCCAGAACCCCAGTTCAAGCCTCCCTGTAATTATCGTCATTGGCAGCATCCAGCCAGGTCCATCCCCAGACGGAGGAAAGTACCTTATCAGAGATACCTCTGTACTCTCTAAGAACAGACTTAAGTATTCATGCGATCCGTTTGAGAAGACCTGGCAGATGTGCCAATTAAGCTCAACTTCCTCCTTTCCCAAATCTTACCTCTAGTTCCAGATCTCCCTTTAACTATCACCAGAGGCATCTAGCTGTACACAGGTTGCCTAGCAACTGAGCACACTTTCCCCTACCCTGCAGAAAAATGGCAGATAGCTTGGATAGATAGGAGCCACAGGAATAAAGAAGGCAGTTTTATTTTCTTCCATTGACCTAACAACTTATAGATTAACATTTCTACCAATCACGTTTAAGTCTATAGTTGAACACATAAGATCCCTCTTCTTAGATAGTTGAATTTAGCCTTTAGTTAATTCATTTCCCCATTAGTCACTTCCCTTTTGGGTTGCAAATGATAATTAACAATTAGTGCCCCTCTGTGTGATTCTTACCACCCCTCCGCTTGACCCTGGAAGCCTGGCTTTGCACTGCCAAGGGATTACTGCTTGTAAGTGTATATAAACCGGGACTCCCAGGGCATGGGAGGACAGAGAAGAAGATTTGGAAGAATAAATGACTGGACTAAGAGCTTGGTGTGCTGAGATTCTATTTCCTGAAAATAGCCCTCGCCGTTTGTAGTTCTCTCTCCTGAGCCCCTGGGATGTATAAAGGCTGGTCCCTCTAACATTACACAAGATAACAGCTTCACAGAGTTAAATAAATGCAACATAAAAGAATGCAACATATCTTTGAATCATTAAACAAATATTCCACAGCATAAACAAATGTAACACATCTTCAACTAATATTCCACAACATATGTGCTTATTTGTTCTTTCACTAAACCCTCTTACATGTCTCATTCATGTCAATTATATCAATTTTTCTATAAGACTAAATATTTTACATACATCATTTAATCTCAAAACTGTCCTAATAAGTATACACTATTTTCTTCATTTTCAAAAAAATGAAGCCAAGTGGTAAAATCAGTGTTTCAATTTAGTCAGTGCGATCCCAGAACCAATCTGACTCACTGATTAATATTGTTATACATTGATGCATTTTCCCATAAATATTTTATAATCACCTACTCATGATACCTAGCACTAAGGACTGGGGATAAACTAAGGGGCAATAAGAACAAATTAAAGTCTTTGTGACTATGGAGCTTATATTTTTAGTCAGGATAAACAGATAATAAGTAAATGTATTTTTTGAAATATGAGTATATGAGATAACAAAGTATGGAGAAAAATAATTCAGGGTAAAGAGGATAAGGACGTGGGGGAGTGCTGACTTTCTACTGGGAAGTTAGAGAACTCATTATAAGAGGATATTTGAGGAGAGTTGAAATAAAGCCTTGAGAACAGGTGGGGAAAGTGTTCACTCTTCTATACTTACACCAGTGAGGTGAGCCAACAAGTCCACACCTAATTCTTTCCAAACAGCTCCATCAAGGGAGCAAACATTCAGCTATATGAGCCTGTAGGGGCTATTTTCATTCAAACCACCACAACCACTGAAAAGAAAGATTAGATGTGGAAGCTTTGCCTTTACCCAGGTCTGGCCAAGCAAATGAATGACATATGTAGCTGCTAGGCTGTGTCCTTATTAAAAAGAGGTGTGCTTCTCTCTCTCTCTCTCTCTCTCTCTCTCTCTCTCTCTCTCTCTCTCTCTCTCTCTCTCTCTCTCTCTTTCTCTCTCTCTCTCTCTCTTTTTCTTCATCTCACTAGTTGGAATGGGCCTTAACAGATGCAGGGGTGAACTCTTTTCGACCCTGAAGGCAAAGACTATTTCCATAACCTTTGGGGAAGCAGAACACTCCGGTCATAGCCCTAGGAATTCTTATATTTGAATATAATGTGAGAACAAACACTAAACTTCTAATTGGACATGGTACATAAGCATAATCCTTTCACTTAGGAGACTGAGGGCAGAGGAATCAAAGTCAAGCCAGCTTCCCTTTCAAGACTCTGGAGACTGAACCCAGGGCTTTGACCAGGTGAGGCAAGTGCTCGACCACTGAGCTATGCCTCCCGCCCAAGGATATCTGGTAAGTATCTCAGACTTAAAACTTGAAATACCCGAAATCAGATGCCTGACTCCCCACTCCCCTCCACCCCAAGCCCTGCTGTTTTTACCATCTTCCCCATCACAGTTCTGGCATATCAAATTTCCACTGGTTAGGGCAAAATCTTGGAGTCATACCTCTCTATCACCAAGAGGTAGGACAGGGTTTCTGGTTTTTAATAATTAAACCACTCCCAGATTTTCATCCCCAACTTGATGTGTAGATTGTTGAGAGGGATAAAAGATTTTTGTCTTATGTGGGCTCCTTTGTGGAAGGTGAGGTGGGACAGACAGATATATCGTCCAGGGAGGGGAAGGGAAAATCAGTGAGTAGACAAGCGGGTACATGGATTATACCAGCTCTAGACGCCCTAAATGCTATTAGTGCCCCAAATCAATCTTGCCATTCATTCTCCCGCCCAGTTTCTCTTTGGATCGGTTTAGAGGTGGCCTGCTGGTTTAACCTGGGCTCTCGGGGCCCGCCCCCAAGCCCCTCCCACATTGCATGCTGGCCCCCCCTCCTTCTGGCTCCAGCTGAAGCTTGGGCCTCCAGGATTCTGTAACGGTTCTAACTGCTGGGAGCAGGTGGTGTGGCTCAGTGGGCATCTGGATGTGCTGCGCTGATTGCTCAGGTCTCCCTGCTCCTCGGGAGGCCCCTACCACTGGCAAGCCCGGAACCTCCCCTTTCTGCCTCTTCTTTCCTCTAGGTGTCCTCACCTGCAACCGCACTCAGCAGTTGGCTTTCTGCTCAGCACCTTCTCAGTCTGTGGAGAAGACTTCAGGTGACAGGAGTTTTGCCGCCTCTGAGTGACGACCCCTTTGTGTCTCCTTTTCAAGGCAATTGCCAGCCGCCAATTGAAGGTTCCATGCTGTGAATGCAGTTTTCCAGAGAGTTTGCTAGTGTGTGTCGGTCTCCGTGTTAAGTGACAGGGACTGAGTCTAAGTTCATTCACTACAGCGAGAGCTCCGCAATGAAACCGCATCCTCAGACCTGTACCCCTTCCCTTCCCATGCCTTCTACATCCTGCAGGCCAGGTGAGACAGGGCATTGGAGGGTGGGAAGGAGCTTTCGGCAGGGAGGGTTGCCTCCTGTACCAGTCCTTGACAGCGAGGGGCTTAGGAAAGGCCCTCTGCTGGTCTGCCTGTGCCCTGCAGCTCTATCCATCTTGCTGTCCTAGCCCAGAGCCTGAAACTACTTCCCACCCCCACCCTGCCCCAACCGGGCTGGGTCACACAGGTGAGACGCAGCAGCCAAAAGTCTGGAACTGGCATTTGGCCCCTGAGCTGTGGGCAAGATCAGTTCGACAGCAGTTGAATACCTGCCTCCGCTTTACTCTGGAAGAGAGGAATGTACCTTCATCTCCCGATAAGCTATCATTTGATACGCTTGAGTCTGGGTTCACTGAGTGTAGCTGCAGCAGCCAAGAACATACCTGGGACTGTCGGAAGAAGCAGGAGCGCCTTAAGGCAGTGGTTGAATCAGAGCAGCGGACATCGCTGGAGCTGCTGCTGTTTGAGCTGCGGTCTCTGGTGTCAGCTGTGCTGCAGGATGGCAGCAGTGAAGCTTGGCGCTATCTGCATGCAGTACTGGGTCTGTTGTCTCCATATCGTGAGATGCTAACTGGTCAACTCGATTTGCTACCCTTACTAGAGCAGCTGTACTGCTGGGCACCCAAGGTCCAATCCGAACTCCACCTGGACCTGCTAGATGCCATAGACAAGGCCTTTCCCCCAGACAGCTCTTTACTATATAGTTCCTCCCATGTTGACTGCCGTCCCTGGATGAAGAGGTCTCACAGAGGGCCTCCATACCCAGTATGCCCTTTTGTGAAGGCTCGGTGGGGTGAGAAACAAAAAAAGGAACTGGGCACGTGGCTACGTCCATTGACACTGCCGGAGCTGCAGCGCTGCTTGGGCATTGTTGGTGCTGAGGTGGCCCTAGAAGAGACCCAGTGGCTGGATAGCCTTAGTCTCCTGCCCTTGGCATTGGCGACAGACATCCCTGTACAGTATGAAAGCAGCGATGCTGACCACAAACAAGAGGAGTCTGCTGGGACAAAGTGAGTGGCCTGGTCCAGGGCTTTGAGGAGAGGAGAAAAAAGAAATTCGTTTCAGGTGCCTGCGGGGCCACTGGCTCCTTGAGTCCCCTCCTATGGCTCTTCAGTATTAGCCCAACTCTAAACTGAACTGGACTAGGCTGCACCCTTCTTCCTTTTTCTTTTTCTTTTTTCATTTTTCTTTATTAAGAAATTTTCTACTCACTCTGCATACCACCCACAGATCCCACCTCCTCCCTCCTCCCACCCCCCAGCTCTCTCTCCCAAACCACCCCACATCCCCACATCTCCCAAATCAAGGTCTCCCATGGGGAGTCAGCAGAGCCCAGCACATTGAGCCTAGGCAGGTCCAAGCCCCTTCCCACTGCACCAAAGCTGCGCAAGGCATCACACCACAGGCACTGGATTCCCACAAGCCTGTCCATGCACCAGGGACGGATCCCGATCCCCCTGCCTGGGTGCCCCCCAAACAGTTCAAGCCGAACAACCATCTCCCATATCCAGAGGGTCTAGTCCAGTCCCATGGGGGCTCCACAGTCAGTAGTCTACAGTTCATGGGCTTCCACTAGTGTGGCCGGACACATCTCTACACATCTTCCCATCATAATCTTAACATGTAGTCCGTCCATGTCTCCCCCCCCCCATTTGATTGGATTCCTGGAGCTCAGCCTCCTCCTTTCTTTTCACTTGCAAAACAAAGCCATTGTATCAATGCTAATCCATGGGGAAATACTAAAATGAAGAGTCAGCCAATAGGAAGCCAGAATTGAACCTTGCAGTTTCCAGTCTTCTGTGATTCCAGAAGCTTCCTTGGGGTTCATTTTCTCTGTCATTTATAATCACTGAACCACACTTTGGGGCTTATCTTGTGGTGGTCCTGGGTGCTAGATATAGATAGGGTCCTTGGTTACTCCTAGGGAGTGCTTGTCTGAGTAGTCTTCTCCCACAGGTCTATGTTAAATATTTCAGACCTAATGCAGAGCACTGACTCTGAGTCATCTTCCTGCTCTGACAGGATGGGCTGGCCCCTTGAGTAATAATCCATTCCTTCCAGTTCCCAGTCTGGCTTCCAAAATTCTAGGACTTCAGAATGCCTAAAAGACCCTTTCTGGGAGTTCTTTGACTTTAGTCTGGGAACTTCTCTCTAGCTCTGGTCTGATTTTCTTGATATTTTGTAACTTGTCTATGATACATTCACTGTTGAGGAAAAAAAAAAACCCTAGTTTTGCCTTTAATCAAGCATGACTTCCTCAGATTTTGCTTTTAAATTTATGGCTGGATCAATTTATGACCTTTCATGAAGTCTCAGATCCCTAATGGCAGACAAGTGGGCAGGTTCCTGGAGCTGTGAAAAGAGGTGGCCAATGTCAGCAATTTATGTCTTCAATCATCCCAGCATAGCTTTTCTTCTTCAGAGTGGCCCCAAGTCTAACTTTTCTCTCTTGGGAGATCTTAATAGAAATGGTCATTGGCTGATAGATCAAGAAGGAATCCTGGCAGTCAATCTCTGAGGTCTAGCTAATATAATTCATTTTACTGTTCTCCAGAACTGTCCTCCTAGGCCCTGATTCATTTAATGGCTATTATTAGATACTTGGATGTATCTAGATGCTGGGTATGGAAAAAATTAATCAAACAGATTCAGTTCTTTGGAGTCTTACAGTTTGGTGAGGGATACATTAGGACAAGTAAGATATAATTAATGAATTGTAGTAAGTAATATAATATAAAAGGCTACTGGCTATTGTCTGTGTACTCTCTTGCTGAGACGGGGTTGGGAAAGACACACAGGGAGATACAGCAGGAGTAGAGGATTTGGGTAGAGATGAGATTAGTAAAGTGGGTTAGGAGGTGAAAATTTGTCAGTGAGGCAGCAGTTGGTAGTATGAAACACTGCCCAGGTTTTGTAATGAGGAAGCCAGATGATAGTGCACTTGGGATTGAATGGGAGACAAGTGGAAATACCATTTACTATTCATCAAGATTGGCTTGAAAGAGATAAAGACACTAGGACCAGAGTCTGAAGTAATTCTGGCATCTGGATGGGACTCTTGTTAAAGTAGAGGGATGCTTACAGCTCTTAAGACACAGTGTCTGAGAAGTAGGTGCTCCATCAGCAATTGTAGACTAAAGGAATCAACAGGTTATGGTAAGAAGAGAAAATTTAATAGAGAATAGCAAGGGATCTAGCAAACACATGAGAAAGTAACCTTACAGAAAATAAAGGGCACACTGTCCTTCAAACTGGGGAGACAGAATGACAAGGCAAATGAAACCAAGGGAGTTAATTCAGAGTCAAGAAGCTCAGATTATGCAGGAAAAGAAGAAAGAATGTGATGAGACTGAGGCTAGGCAGGGTTGAGCATATGGTTAGGTACAGTAGGTTGAGGGGCTGGGAACAGTAGTTGTATACGACATCAAAATGGAATGAGCCCAGAATTTAGACTGGACACTATGGATCTGTTCAGAAGGCAATATTTCTGGTCTTGTGATTATGCAACGTCACTACTAAGGAAATATGCTTTTATTTTTTTGTCATGCTAGGGATCAATCCTGAGTCCTCATGCACTAGGCAATTGCTATACCACTGAGCTGAATTTTTAGTCCTATTTGTACTTTTTATTTTGAGATAGTGTTTTACTAAGTTGCCTATACTGGCCTTGAACTCACTATAGCCAGGCAGGCCTTGAACTTGATATCCTCTTTTGATCACAAATAGAACAGTTAAGATGATTTGGTCCAATATCAAAGCCTATTGCTGATAAGAATTCTAGGACAGAGGATTTACAGGGTAATGAGCTGGGAAAACAGTGTCTTCCTAGAATTGTATACAATATTATGTAACACTGACTGCAGTAATCACAGCCAGTGTAGTAGAATCATTTATCAGAAAAAGAGTTTTTCATGCCCTGGCTGTAGTTGACCAACATGCATGATGGACTGCATTTGCTCACTATGTGACATCTTTGAGTATAAATTAGACAGTGCCATCTGTGTCCCCTTGTCCACTTGATCTAGCTCCTGCTTTCCGTGGCCAGTGGTAGCAGAGCCCACTTCTAGGCACTGACCTTTTTGCTCTGCCTTTTCTCCCTGGTTTATTTTGTCATTCAGGTCTCTGCTTGCCTCTGAAGCTCCTGAGGAGAAGGCCTTCAGGAAGAAAAGTTCTAAGACTTCCCTCCTGAGAAGTCAGGTGAAATCCCTTCTGAGGACAGACTGGTACCAGAAGAAGATCCACTTCCTCTATCTCAATGTGGCTCCTGATCGGTACTTTAAGTAAGAGCCACCCACCCACTCCTGCCCGTGTTACCTGCCATTCTTTTGCTCCATGCTCATCCCCCTCTTTGGCCTCACAGTTTCCAGCCTTCTGACCCTCTCAGCCTCCTCCTCTGCACTCTCCAGCTCCTTTTTCTCTACTTGGCTTTCACAACCTCTTGTCTGAATTGTACCTTTCTTACTTTTGCTCTTTATTCTTTTTTTGAAAGGAAGAAAGCATTTATTTATAGCCTCAGAAGCACATTTAATGCTGACCTTATTTAACTATAGTGCAAGAATCATGGGTTGAAAACTCAATGTTAGGGAAACGTTGGAAACAAAAGCATCTTGTTTTTCGAACTAAAATCTTCTTTCCCTGGACTTCCACCTCTTTGTCTTTTTTTTTTTTTTTAACCTGTGAGACTATAAAAATAAGCCTGGCCGGGCGGTGGTGGCGCACGCCTTTAATCCCAGCTCTCGGGAGGCAGAGCCAGGTGGATCTCTGTGAGTTCGAGGCCAGCCTGGGCTACCAAGTGAGTTCCAGGAAAAGGCACAAAGCTACACAGAGAAACCCTGTCTCGAAAAACCAAAAAAAAAAAAAAACAAAAATAAGCCTGGTTCCACACCAGTTGCATCCATTCACTTTCTCCTATTAGATCCATTGTTTCCCCTTCTGTTCTTAAATGGAACTCAGGAACTCACAAATGCTAGGTGAATGCTCTACCACTGAGCCACACCCCAGGCCTAAGTTCCTCTTTCTGTCCTTCCCTCACTCACATCCTTCATAGGCTATGATAGCCACTATTAAAATACCTCACCCCCACCATACACAGATTTCAACATCTCCAAAATGTCAGTGTATCTTAAAAATTGAAGTATCCCAGTGGAAGGATTTTTAATCTTAGCTTTTCATAAAATAATACTTTAGCTTACACATGATGATGTCCTAAATTTTATGAGATGTTCTGTATCTGAAGATAAGAACTTGGAACAGGCTAATAGGCTAGATGCCCTTTTCTTTCTTTTCATCTATCTTTGGCTTAAATTTCTTCTTAATATTTATTCAATCATTCTAGTTTGAATACGATTCTGCTGTCTTTCCCCCTTTGCTACTTTTTTTTCTGCCTCCCTAACTCCTTTTTCTCTCCCCCATCCTTCTATGGTCTCCCCAGGAGAGATGCACAAGTTCTTCAGTTCTCACTAATCAGAGGTGTTTTTTTGTTGTTGTTTAATTAAAAACAGGCCTTACAACCTGATAGTGGTGCCACCAAGCAAGGTGAATCCCGAACACTACATCTTTTCCCCCTTTGGGATCCTGCATGTACATCCTGTGGAGGGCAATGAAACGATGACACTGGGTACTTGGCATCGCAACTCTACTGTCTGGCACGAACTCCAGCGTATTCCATTCTTTAAGAATTGCCTCTTACAAAAGGCTTTGACCTGGTAGGCAATGACAGGGTTGGGCTTGGGTGGAGATATGGATGAGAGAAATATGAGAGCTTATTGTCACTCACCTCTAACCTGTAGTTGGAAGAAGAATGTGAGGTTTTACGGGCTGCATCGAATCCAGACTTTACTCAAGAGTCATCTGCTCTTGGCTGTTCCTCACTTTGGAGCTGGGATGCTCCATATTAGCAGGTGAAGTATTACAAACACAACTGCCGTGGATTTTTAAATTTTACATACTGGCTATGGTGGGGCATGCTTGTAGCCCCACCTCTCAGAGGCTGAGTCACGAGGACCAAGAGTTTGAGGTTGATGTGTGCTGTATAACAGACCCTATTGATTTTTTGTTGTTGTTGTTTTGGGGTTTGGTTTTGATTTTTGGTGTGTATATATGTGTATGTTACAGTGCTAGGAACTGAATACTAGGCAAGTGCTCTACCATTGAGCTACATCTCTAACCTTCAACATTTTGTGTCAATAACCACAAAAAATTATTTGGACAAAAGGCAATACCATGTCCATTTATAAAATTTTAAGATACAAGAAAAGCACAAAGAAAAAACTCTCTAATATTATTATTCATAAATAACCATTAAGAGTATTATATTTTATTTTTCTAGTCATTTCTTCTATCATGTACAAAATATGATCATACGTTATTGTTATATAACCAGTATTCTGAATATATATCTCCATGTAATTACATGTTCTTCTATACCAACTTATCCGAAGTACAACACAACTAAGTACCAAACCCGTGGCTTAAACTTGGGCATTTGAACCCAAAAATTCTTTAATCCTGTCCATTTCTCTCTCCAACACACCCACATTTTTTTGAAAGTTAGTTATTCCTGTCCTCCTTGCCTTTCCTTCATGGTGCTTCCTGTATAGTCTATAAGAGGAGTTGCAAACTCAAATGCTCAGGGATCATAATTGAAGATACTGAAAGAATACAATGATTAAGTGCAAGACATTAGAGATCATGGTGCTGCACCCTGAAGATTGCATCTGAAAAAGACAGTGACTCCTCAGTTTAACTAACTGACATTTTGGAGTATAGGTCCAGCTATGATCAGCTGACCTTGTTTTTTAGGATTTCCTGGAAATCTACGTTTCATGGTCAAATTTAAGTTTAAAAAATTAAATGTAGTATTTTAGTTATTTGTATATGTGCATGTGTGGACTGTGTGTGTGTACGTGTGCGTGTGTGTGTGTGTGTGTGTGTGTGTGTGTGTGTGTGTAGGTCAGAGAACAACTTGAAGGAGTCAGTTCTTTCCTTCCACCATATGGGACCCTGAGACTGAAGTTCAGTCATCAGGCTTGGTAGCAAATGCCTTTTTCTGCTGAACCATCATGCCAACTCTACCAAAATTAAAAATTTTAGCTGTTGGGCTCAGATTTTAATTAAAACACTCTGAGGGTCAACTCTTAGCAGTGCACAGTGGAAACTTTTAGTCTGAATTTGATACAATGGTTATCAGTTTGTAACCTCTACTTTAGGCTGTTACTGTCCTCTAGACTTCCTTAGGCATCATAATGTCTTTTTTTAAAAAAAAAAAAACAACGCTGTTTTGTTTTTCTGGTTGTTTTAAAAGACAGGGTCTCATATACCGCAGGCTAGTCTCTAACTTGCTACATAGGCCAAGGCTAGCTTTGAACTTCTGATCTTCTTGCCTCAACTGCCCAATAGCTAGGATTACAGGTGTGTGCTCTCATGCCTGGTGATGGTGTAAATCATAAGGCTTTGGAGGATTTATAGGTCTGAATCTAGATCCTAGCTAGGAGACTAGCAAGGAGTCTACTCTTTGTGCCTCAAGTCAATGGTCTGCAAACTCCTGTAAAGATTTCAGCTACAGAGTGCAAATAATGAGAAGTAAATGAGATTATGGATTAAAAGTACTATATATCCAATGCCCTTTTGCAGGAACAGAATAGATAGCATATATTCATCATCTTAATCATTCTGACTACTTATTGGGGGGTTGTTCATATTTTTCAAGGAATCTTAAGAGCTATGGATGGAGTTGTGGGGAAACAGGGAGGGTAGAGAACAGGAGCAGCTTCCTCAGTGGCAGTCAACTCTAGAGATGCTGTGGTTTAATCACCTTGGATCCTAAAATATGCCTGTCAACCTTGACTTTTTAGGACCTTAATTTTCTTTATTCCCAGGATGAAGTCTCTTGTCTTTTTACATCTTAGGATTTATCTGAGCCTCTTTTGGAAGAAAAATCACTAGGTATAAGCAACTGTATATTCTATGAGGCTTTTCCAAATAATTTCCCACCTGGCAACTGTCATAGGTCACTGGAAATATTACAGTCTTTGTAAACATTCGCTCAGTCTGGGTTGAACTGAGTTGGGAAGAGTTCAAAGGTGTTGAGAGAGGGATGGCTGGAATACCAGCTCTAACTAGCTTATTTCTTGATTCTAGGCTTCTTCAGGAGTTTCAGTCTGTGTCTTGGCTACCCAAGGAGCCAGATAAGTGCTATGAGCTTCAGGACCTGCAGAAGACAATAGCCAAAGAGAACCACAAGGCTCTGCGAATGTTCTGTCGCTTTCTGAATCTCTGTACATCCATTCTTCAACTGGTAAGAGGCTCTGCTTTATTGTGAGCCTTTTCTCCAATCAGAGCTGTCCAGAGTTTCAGCCTTCTCTTGGTTATTTCTGGGACCCCTGTGTGACTTGGATCCTGCTGTTGGATTAGACACATTTTTCTGCTCAGTGACAATAGTTTCTATTCTGGAATAGACAGATCAAGACCAACTGAGCAAAGGCTGGCACTTTAATGTTCCCTGAGGGTTGTTCCTAGCCTAGGGGCAGGGAGGAAAAGGAAGGTAATGTCTGTTTTGTCAGGTGTTTGTGCTAACACGAAGGAATTGGGGCATTAAGAAAATTAAGAACTAGAATCCTAACCTTTCATGCATCTGGGCTTATCTTTGAACCTGTGGCAGGCCTCCATGGCTAGTCGAAGCATTCAGTGATGGAATTTATCCTAATTATGACTACTTTGTATCTGAGTCCACATCCCCATCTAGTGCTCTGGGATGTCTTGTCAGGTTCTTTCTTGCCTCTTGTCTGTTATCTGTTACTATGCTTTTGTTTGGTGTTTAAACTAGGTGCTATTGTGGCAATAATAGGAGATGGAACCTTTGGTAGGTTATAGGACCATGAAGGCTCTGTCTCTGCCACCTCTCCTTCTTTGCTCTTCTACCTCCCCTCTTAACATAGTTTTCCTCTTATCTGAAGGATGTGGAAAGAAGCCTTTTCTCGGCCTCCACAACTGTGAGAAAATAAATTTCTGTTCTTTATAAATTACCTAGTTCCAAGTAATCTGTTAAAGCAACACAATTAGACTAAGACCACCCCTTGTGATTGCCATCTGAAGTAGAAGACAGTCTTATGGGCTGTAGCTTTAATCAGAGCGACCCAAGGCTGTGTTTCCAGATAGTGTCAGAGTTAAGTATGGGATATACACTTGGAGTTTGCTGAAGAAGTGTTTGGTGCATATGAGAAAACTTCTACATGTCTAGATTTGGAAGTGCTGTGTTCACTGGTATGTTTAAGAATAATGTTTTCCTACTTTCACAGGGTTAGATATACATTGTAAATGTAAATTCCATATCAATTGTATGACAACAAGTTTGTAGCTTACCTTTTCATGTTTTAATTGTGTCTTTTGGTAAACAAATGATTTTAATTTTTTAAAAATTTTTTACATGTATAGGAGTTTTTCCTCATATGTGTATCTGTGCACAATATGTGTGCTTGGTGCCCACAGAGGCCCGAAGTGGACATAGGGTTCCCTGTAACTGGAGTTGCAGTTGGTTGTGAACCATCACCTAGGTGCTGAGAATTGAATCTTGGTTCTCTGGAAGAGCAGTCAGTCATTTTTTGATTGCTGAGCCTTCTCTCCAGCCCCTGATTTGAATTTTCTTAAAGTTTTCTCAGTGCTATCAAGTGTAGCAAGCTTTTTCTTTTTGGTCACCAGCCAGCTCCCAAGTCATGATGTGGAAACTTCTTATTAGTTATGAATGCTTGACCTTAGCTTAGGCCCATTTCTTGCTGGCTCTTATAACTTAACCTGTTTCTCTTCATCTACATTTTCCCTTGGGACTTTTCACCTTTCTTTCTTTCTTTCTTTCTTTCTTTCTTTCTTTCTTTCTTTCTTTCTTTCTTTCTTTCTTTCTTCCTTCCTTCCTTCCTTCCTTCCTTCCTTCCTTCCTTCCTTCCTTCCTTTCTTTTCTTTCTTTCTTTCTGTACATCTTACTTTCCTACTGTCTCCATGACTGCCTAATGACTGTCTGGCTTCTGGCCCCGGGAGTGTCCCTCTCTCCCTCCCTTGTTCTCTTTATTCCTTATCTTTTTTTCTCTCAAGTCTAGATTCCTTCTCTATTTATTCTCCCTGCCTGCCAGTCCCACCTATCCCTCTCCTGCCTAGCTATTGGCTGTTCAGCTTTTTATTAGACCAATCAGATGCCTTAGGCAGGCAAGGTGAAACAATTACAACATATCTTTTCATAATTGAACAAATGCAGTATAAACAAACGTAACACATCTTTGCCTAGTTAAAGTAATATTCCATAACAATCAAGTCTTTTGAGTCCTTGTTTAAAATATCTGCACTTATTTCAAGTCACACAGATAGTCTCTTATGTTTTTCTACAGTCATTTTACTACTTCATCTTTAGATTTAGGTTTATAGTCTGTTTCAATTTTTTTCTTTTTTTTTCACACTAGGTTCAATTTTTTTATATGTGAGGTGAGGTAAGAGTCAAAATTAATTTTCCTTTGAATTAATTAAGACTCTTTTTCAGCCAGGCAGTGGTGGCACATGCTTTTAATCTCAGCACTTGGGAGGCAGAGTCAGGCAGATCTCTGTGAGTTCAAGGTTAGCCTGGTCTACAAAGCAAGTTCCAGGACAGCAAGGGTTACACAGAAAGACCCTGTCTCAAAAAATCAAAAAACAAAACAAAACAACAACAAACCCCCAAAACCCTTTTTTCTTCATTTAATATTATTTATCTCTCTTTTCTTCCTTCCTCTTTCTTTCTTTCTTTCTTTCTCTCTTTCTTTCTTTCTTTCTTTCTTTCTTTCTTTCTTTCTTTCTTTCTTTCTTTCTTTTTGGTGTATTTGTGTAGGGGTATGTGTGATGGTATTGTGTTCCCCAAAATATTGTGTACCCTAATAAACTTATCTGGGGTCAGGGAACAGAAAAGCCACTAGATACTTAGGATAGGCAGTGGTAGCACATGCCTTTAATCCTAGCATTCCAGAGGCAGAAATCCATGTGTTCAAGGATACAGCCAAGCATGGTGACTCATGCCTTTAATCCCAGAAAGCGAGCCTTTAATCCCAGGGAGTGATGATAGAAAGCACAAAGGTATATAAGGCGTGAGGACCAGAAACTAGAAGCATTTGGCTGGTTAAGCTTTTAGCTGGTTAAGCTTCAGGCTTTCGAGCAGCAGTTCAGCTGAGAGCCATTGGGATGAGGACACAGAAGTCTCCAGTCTGAGGAAACAAGACCAGCTGAGAAGTTGGCCAGGTGAGGTTAGCTGTGGCTTGTTCTGTCTCTCTGATCTTCCAGTGTTCACCCCAATACCTGGCTCAGGTTTGATTTTATTAATAAGACCTGTTAAGATTCATGCTACAGGTATGTATTTGTTTGTATGTTTATATGGATGTGTGTATAGGCCAAAGGTAGATGTCTGGTGTGGTCCTCAATCACACTCTACCTTATCAGTTTTTGAGACATGGTCTCTCACTGAACCTGACACTTTTCAGTGGTCTAGATTTGCTTACCAGTGAGCTCCAGGGATCCATCCACCTTTTCCCAGCCCCTGAATGAGAGTTACATTCCAACTTCTTTCCTTTTTTTGAGACAGGGTTTCTCTGTGTAGCCCTGGTTGTCCTGGAACTCACTCTGTAGACCATACTGGCCTAGTGCTAGGATTAAAGGAATGTGCCATCACCTCCTGGCTTACATTCCAACTGCTCAACTTGGGTGCTGAGATCTGAACTCAACTCCTGATGCTTGTGAGGCAGTCATTTTACTGAGCCATCTCCCTAGTCCTTAATACCGTTTTTTTTTCCTGTAAGAGTCTGTCTCTAAAATCTGTACCATTCATTAGCCTATCGATATTTTTTCAGGGTCACACTGACTTCATTATTACAGCTTTCTGAAGAGGCTTTATATCTGGTATTGCAAATCCTACACCTTTTCTGATCTTAAAGAATGCCCTGGCTGTTTTGCTTCTTTGAATTTCCATATCAGGTTTGAATTAGCTAGCTATTTTCTACAAAATAATTGACTTATTATACTTGTTTTTTTTTTTTTTTTTTTAAGATAGGGTCTATGTAGTGCTGGCTGTTCAGGAATCCAATATGTAGACCAGGCTGGCCCCAAACACCCAAAGATCCACCTGCCTCTGCCTCCCAAGTGCTGAAATTAATAGTGTGCACCACTCTGCCCAGGCTTGCACTTTTTTTTTTTTTTTTTTTTTTTTTTTTTTTTTTTGGTTTTTTCGAGACAGGGTTTCTCTGTGTAGCTTTGCGCCTTTCCTGGATCTCGCGCTGTAGACCAGGCTGGCCTCGAACTCACAGAGATCCGCCTGGCTCTGCCTCCCGAGTGCTGGGATTAAAGGCGTGCGCCACCACCGCCCGGCATCAGGCTTGCACTTTTATTACTGCTGTCTTAACAGTTTCCTAACCATGAACATGGATCTCTTCATGTTTTGCATTTGTTACTTTCTATTACCCAAGATTCTGTGAGTTAGATGTCTTGAACACATTTTATCAGATTTTCCACTAGGCCATTGTTTTCTAATTATTGCTCCAATGACATTCACTGTGGGTAAAAGATATTGTTGTAAAGGAGTGAAAAAGGAATCTTTTAGAATATGAGGCAGGATTTTTATTGTTTTGAGATAGGCAAGGATTTCTTTTCCTTTTTTCTTCCTGGTTCTGAGGATTGAACCCTGAGACTTATGTATTCTAAGATAAGTATTCTAAAGAAAACTAAACATCATTTAAGAAACAAAAATACAAGCATTAGACACATAGAGCCATTTTCTCTGCTGTTTCATGGAACAGAATGAAACATTTCCTGGCTGGCGGTTACCTTCAAGAGGCAAGGGTGGGAGATGTGAACTCAGTAATCCTCACAGCTGGTCACTGAGCTGTTCAAACCAAGCTTTTAATTGATGCTGAATAAATGCATTCCATTTATAAATGCATTAAAATACAGCATCATGAAGAGCTAACGTAGTTTTGAAATGTTAAAGAAAAAATGTTAATTGTGGGTTTCTTGTGGCTCTCCCTTACCCATTTGCTAAAGGTTTTTATTAGGAATGGATGTTGACTAATGTTTAAGAGGTGTAAAACAATTATAACTTCCAAGTTATTGTGCCTAGTGCTGATATTTTAAAACCGTGTACTGATTATATTTTCTAATCATAATTATTATTGTCATTTGTATAGTTTTATGGTGATTAGCAACCAAGGGGACACTTCAATGGAAGGCATTATATTCTTTTTTTTTTTCTTTTTCCGAGACAGGGTTTCTCTGTATAGTTTTAATGCCTGTCCTGGATCTCACTCTGTAGACCAGGCTGGCCTCAAACTCACAGAGATCTGCCTGGCTCTGCCTCCCGAGTGCTGGGATTAAAGGCGTGTGCCATCGCTGCCTGACCAGGCATTATATTCTTTCTCTAAATATTTACAATAGAGTGTCAGATATCATGCATATCAGATATTTACATTATGATTTATAACAGCATCAAAATTATAATTTATGAAGTAGTAATGAAAATAATTTTATGGTTGGGGGTCACCACAACATGAACTATATTAAAGGATCACAGCATAAGGAAGGTTGAGAACCACTATACTAGACTGAGGGCTATGAAGTGGGAAACACTAAGCCTTGAGGGTATTGCTAAAGCATGGAAAATGACACTTTCCTAATATTGAGGACTTGTTTTCTTAGGGCTCAACTGAGTTGCAGAACACTAAGACGAGTTCATAGAGAGCAGAAATACAATGCATAGACACCAGTCAGCTCTAATCACAAGCTCAGTGGAGCTTGGCAAGGAACAGGGGAGCAGCAAGGACCATTGGGTCCATCTGGCCAAGCATAGCTTTCCTATATCTCTTTTAGATTCCTCAACTGGACAAATGCAAAAACTTGAAAACTCGCAGCCTTTGCCAGTTTAGAATCTTCCTATATCCAAGAAGAACCCGTAAAGAGACTCCCCGTACCAACTTCTCAGTTGGAAGTCTGTGTCAGTGCCCATAAATATCGTGTAATAGAATGCATTTTCTCAACAGGCTGCATCATCCCAGGCCTAATGGTTAGAGTCCAAATCCTGCAATCATTGCTGGCTTTAATCATGCAGTCTTTGTCTACTCTTTGCCCTGTGACACTCCCTGTGTCCCTATACTAACTTTTTCTAATTGAGTTCCATCATGGGGTTTGTTTATTTATTTATTTGTTTGTTTTGAGACATAGTCTCATCATAACTCAGGTTGACCTTTAGCTCCTGATGTTCTTGCCTACATATTTTAAATGTTGGGATTTCAGGTATGTGCTACCAAGGTTAGCTGCCTTATTCTGAGAACTTTCCAAAGGCCTGGCCTATCACATTAGCACATGAGCCCTCTGAATTTAAGTCCTCTGTTTTGTGTCTTCTCAAGTCATTTAAAAGTGTATGGAGCAGTCTCTACTAAAAAGGAGCCTTCCACATGCAAATCTAGGTTCTAGGTTCCAGACTCCAAGACCTCCTTGCTTGCAGGGACCAGTGGGTAGCTGTTTTACTTCCCTATCCTTCTGTTTCCAATAAGTTTCACCTTTCTACCCTGAAAGGTTCATGAAGACACATACCAAATGCAACAGGGCCTGCAGGAGAGAGTGCAAAACTGGAACAGGATCAGGAAAGGCCAGGGCTCCATATACCTTCAGAGGGTGCTGTGCAGGCATCTGGAGAAGAAACTGAAGCTGGCAGAAACATGGTTGCTGAAGCTGGGAAAGTTTGCCCGCCTGATCGACTACATGATTTGTCAGAACCTTGTTTCCATCTTAGAAGATGAAATAACTTCCTTTGTAGCCAACACTATGCAAGTGAGGTGGTGGCTAGGGTGGGAAGTCAGTCAAGGAGCAGACTACTGGGGGGAGGGGTGCACTTTCATCTGGCCCTGTAACCTCTGCTGATCCTTCTTTTACAGGCCCCAAGACAAAACCCTTTTCTCTTATCACAGCTGGTCTTTGATGACAATGGCCAGTTGTCTCCTATGCCTTGTGTTGAAACTATAATCCAGACTCTTAATAAAGGCCTGCAGTCTATCAAGACCTCTGCCCTAAAGGTTTCTGGATTGGGCATGGGGTGGGCTCTGGAAATTCCTGGTCCTATCCTCTATAGAATCTGAAGTTCTCAGCCTACTTAGAATCTCATTGTTTCTCTATTTTGGTTCCTTTTTGCCTCCTAACATGAAGGTACTGCAGTCTACAGACCTGAGGACCTCCAAAGATCCCCTGTATTCTGAAGGTACTTAAAGGGACAGAGACAGGAGATGGGAAGTCTGAATGGAGTGGGGGGGCACATGTAGAGTGCAAAGGACATGGAAGTGGACCAGAGGCTCAGCACAGGTCAGGCCGTGGATGTAATGGGGCAGCTCTAACCTGGATACTGTACATGTCTGTTGAGAGGTGGGAGAGTCTAGAGGGAGTTGTGCTAATTCATGTGCCTATGTACATGTGCGTGATTATTCATGTGCTTATGTAATTGTGTGTGGTGGTGGGTGTGTATGTGGATACATTGTCTGCCCCCTAGTTCACCCCAAATTCCAGGTTTTCTCTAATGTCACATTTGCATTTTATTTGCTATTGAATTTGATTGTTTAACTAATGTGTGCTTGTCTGACAAGTTCTGCTTGCTCAACATCTGCTTTAGGTTATGTGGCTGTGTTATTTCTGATAGGACAATTCATTAAGATATTGAGATATTGGGCTGGAGAGATGGCTCAGAGGTTAAGAGCACTGACTGCTCTTCCAGAGGTCCTGAGTTCAATTCCCAGCAACCACATGGTGGCTCACAACCATCTGTAATAAGATCTGGTGCTCTCTTCTGGCCTGCAGTCATACATGCTGTATACATAATACATAAACCTTAAAAAAAGATATTGAGATATTAATCCTCGACTTTTAAAAAAGTAAATTATTTAATGATTTATTATTTATTCTTATTTTATGTTCATTGGTGTTTTACCTACATGTATGAGGGTGTCAGATCTCCTGGAGCTGGAGTTACAGACAGTTGTGAGCTGCCATGTGGGTGCTGGGAATTGAACTTGGGTCCTCTGGAAGAGCAGCCTGTGCTCTTAACCACTGAGCCATCTCTCCAGCTCTAATCCTCAACCTTGTTAACCATCATAAAGGAAATACATCTTGATATTCCCTTTCTCCAAGTTACTAATGTCATCATGAAAAAAAATCATTAAAAGCATTAGATGCCTTTTAATTTCCCTACCCAACTGGTGTGTCTTCATGAAGATGAATGAAAAAAAAATGAAAGTTAATTTTAGGGGATCATTCATAAGAAGGAAAGGGTTCTGGAAAAGGAGACTATATTTTATATAGATAAATACATATAAATCATACTCACTGAGCACATATTTTCAAAAAATAAGTTTAGATTAAGTGACAAAAAGTATTAGTGTTTTACATACTCATAAATGCTGGTACATTGATGTAGCTGGAGTTTTCTCCAGTCCTGTCCAGCCCCATGGACCCTACAACCGCTTATAAAATAATATAAATAAAATTAATATATAAATAATATATTAATTAAACTGTTCGGCCATTAGCTCAGGCCTACCTCTGACTAGCTCTTATACTTAAACTCAGCCCATTTTTGTTAATCTATATGTCACCACGTGTTCTGTGGCTTTACCTGTGTGCCATTACATGCTGCTCCCTGGATGGCAGGCTGGCGTCTAATGACTCAGCCTTTTCCACCCAGCATTCTCTTCTCTCCTTGTCCCACCTACACTATCCTTCCTGCCTGGCTACTGGCCAATCAGCATTTTATTTATCAATCAATCATAGCAACATATATTCACAGCATACAGGACATCCCACAGCACCTTGAGGCTATGAGTGGCTTGGCCCATTCACTGGTGCTTTGGGACTTTTGCCTTTTCCCTAGTTGTTAAAATATTACACATAGGTGAGTTTCTAATTGCTTTGTCATTTTCCTGTGAGGATTTGGAGTGATTTCAAAATGGTTTTTACAACCATCATCTCAGAATCCCTTCTGGCATTAACATTGTTATTGTTTCTATGTGGAACAGGTATAAGGCATTGTAGGCAAGGGCCAAAGCAGGGAAAGACTAGAATATTATTGTAGTAATGTTTCCAAGGGTTGCTGTCTGGACCAGGAGTTTCCAGGTCCTTAGCATCTTATTGAAGGAACTGAAAAAGCACACATAAATGGTAAGGCAGTGAGGAGTTTTACTTGAAGAGACCGTGTAAGACACATTGCAAGGGAGCAGTGGGCTGCTTGGGCTAGAGTGCAGTCTGAGAAGAAGACGAGAAGTATTGCTAAGCGGTATAGTTTAATCAACAGACTTGACTTATGTAAGCCTTACTATGCTATGTGTAACTTTTCCCATGATGCCTCTGACTTTAATCTTAAGCATGCCCAATTATGCAAGGGCATAAATGGTAAATAGGGGATTTACCCTAAAAATTCACTCACAACACATTACTGTGCCTGAATCCAAAACTGGTTCATGCTGGATTGGCCCTCTGCCTCTGGTTCCTGATATATTCTGCAATCTGTTTGAATGGAAATTAACCACAAAATGGGAGTTACCAAGAGGCTGTTGAAAGGAATAACTTATTCCATTGTTTGAAATGGAATCTACACTTCAACTCGGGGAAGGATGAGAGTTCAGGTTGTTAGCAATGGAGAGTGTGTATAGTTTAGGCCAAGCAGAGTCCAGACTTCTAATCTATCCTTATGCTTGCCTACCTTTGTAACGGCAGTGAAAGACAATGGTGACTTGGCTAGGGTGAAGTTGGTTAAGTGATGGTAGATGTGGGGAGAATTAGTTGGATTTTGGATATAGTTTGATGTAGACCTCATGTATCAGTGTGGGGGTTTGACTGAGAATGGTTCCTATAGGCTCATATGCTTGAATACTTGCTCCTCTGTTGATAGAACTGTTTGGTAAGGAATGGGAGATGTGGCCTTGTTGAAGAAAGTATATCATAGGGGCAGGCTTTGAGGCTTCAAAAATCTCCCATACTTCCCAGTGTGCTCTCTGCCTCCTGCTTGTAGTTTTGAGATGTGAACTCTCAGCTGTTCCTGTTGGCATGCCTTTTTACCAAAAATTCTGACTCTGGCAATTAATCAGTTCCTAAAATGTTATGGGGAGAAGCCAGGTCCAAGGATGATCTCTTAAAGTGGATATTAAGAACTGGCATATTCAATCATGCATCTATTCTTCCTCTTCCCCTGTTCTGTAGAGGCTAGGATGCTCCTAAGTGTACTTCCCAGTCCCCTTGCAGCTAGACAGCATATGTGATATAGGGCCCACCAATTCAATCCATCTGAGCTTTCAATTCAGAATTAAACTGGAGAAAAGGCAGGTTTTATATATAGATATATCCACTCTGCAGATATTGGTGATGTGGTAATGATACCCCAACTTGCCAGTCAGCCAGACTCTAGATATTCAGCCTATAGTATTTTTGCTTTTCAGATCTCCTAATTACTCTGAAACCCACTTAGTAAGTTGTAATAATTTTCCTTCCTGCTTACACGAGACAAATTCTATTCTCAGCATGTGAGTTCTGGCTGACCCACTCCTCCCATGGATTTGCAGGGGGTATTAATTTGTTAATTAATGTTGATGATGTAGGTATAGATTCACTCATAAGCAAGGAATAGCAGCATGGTGTGCATTTAGGATAGAGAGAAGGTTTGCATGGGGCTCTGGAGAGTGCTCATGGTATTATATCATGTGTTCCACTAGATGATAAAGACCAGGACTCGAATGCAGAATTCCTGATGCCCAAGTTTCATGGAAAGCCCAGCGATGCTGTTCGCCTCTTCTGTGGCCCGAATGTAGGATTTGTGTGGCCCTGGAAGTCTCATGCAATTACTGATGTCCTCGAGGTCCGTGGGCACCGGCTTCGGGGTCAGTATCTGCCCCCTAATTACAATCATGTACAGAAGGACTTGGACAACAATGCTAGAATCCAACAGGCACTGGCTGTACAACAGGCACTCCTGGAGGTGAGAACAGAAGTTTGAGGAATGGGCTGCTGGCTGCCAGCCCCCATCATAGCTACTGCCTCTGCCTTACATACTTTATCTGCCCGTAGGACATGCTGCAGGAGGTTCGGGAATTCTGCAATGAACAACAGTGGGTAGAAGGCATCTATGAGTTCCTGACAGCCTGGGACCCTCAGAAATTAGAGGACCTGAGAGGCTCTCCCATTAAGGACTATGTAGTACTAGTAAACCAGCTGAAAGTTTGGCAGAAACGTGTCTCCAATATGCCTGTCGAGTTGCTGACGAAAGGCAAGTTGCTGCTCCTGAGTGGCCACAATGTTCAAGCAGAGTTGGGTGAGTGCTTCTTGTCTTCCCTACATCTTCCTTACATCCATGCACACAGGTTACCTTGGGACTAGAATGTCCTCCAGGGACCTTTGGTTTAAGCCCCTCTTTGGACCTTTGGAGCCTTCCGAAACTCTAGCTCTCAGCCCCTTCTCTTTGCCATCAAAGGTATGGTCACAGAGGTCAGCCTCTGTTTGGATTCATTCATTCCCTGTATTCATTAGGAATCACATTCCTGTTGATGAAAACTTTTCTATTCTTGTTTTTAAAAAAGATCAAACCAAATATGATTAAGAAACTTAGCCTGTACTTGGTTTTCTTCATAGAGATTCTTGGGAAGCTAGGGTGCACCTTTCTTGAATGGAATAGTGCTAAATTTCTACCACTATTTGCATGTGTGAAAAGTTACTCTTTTCTTGCCTCACTCTGCAGTCCTAACCTCTGTGGACAGTGGCAAAAGAACATACTCCTCCCAGTTAATGAGGGCTCTTCTCATCTAAAGCAGCCACTCTGGTCCAGTAAGGTCTATTCTGAATATTTGGTTAGCTCAGAATTCTTAGCACCACTGATTTTTATGCTCAAGTGTTCTCTGCTCCATTTTGCTTCCACAGCACACTGGCACTGGGAAAGCCCACTGGGTTGGACACTGTTTGCACAGAGTGTAATACCCCCTTGCCTGGTCCTACCCTTCTTGATATTGATGATTCTGGTGCTCCTGTGTCCCAGGCTGGTGTAGCTGGGGCGTGGCCTGTTTTTCCTTTTCTATTTAAATGTATTTTAAGTGTGTGTGTGTGTGTGTGTGTGTGTGTGTGTGTGTGTGCGTGCGCGTGCGCGCACGCGCGTGCACGTGCATGTGGTACAGGTGCCAGTGGAGGCTAGAAGAGGGCATGGGATCCCCTGGAGCTGGAGTCATACCCAATATGGGTGCTGGGAACCAAACTTCCATCCTCTACAAGAATAAGTTCCCTTAACCTTTGAGCTACCTCTTCAGCCTTCACCTTTTCTGAGTCAGCACTACCATGACTCTTATTGCTGTGGCTTACTACTTGTCTTAGGCTGACCTCTCCCATGTTATTTACCTTAGGACTCCTTACTTCCAACTCAGAAACTGCATCCAGGTCCAGTGGGATCAATGTCCTGCTATCTTTGGTATCTCCTGCCATTTGGGACCTGAGGAATTGTAAATATTGCCTTTGGTTCCTTTCTGCCATATCACAGCACACTACAATTTTTACTATACAGTGACTGTTCACTATCAGCACAGGGAACCATTTAAGAAGGCCTTTTCCCAAAGTTCCATATAAAAAGTAGGACATAAGAGCACACTACTACCGGCTGCAGGAATTATAAGAACTCAGCTAATTTTGGCAAAGCCACTACTAAAGGGATCAAGGAATTACATCAGAGGAAGCTAAATCTCAGGGAATATTTGGTGCTATTTGGCTTGTTATATTTAAGCTGTCTTCTGCTATGAATATACCAATTGATTTTTCCCTAGGAATTGCTAACAGTGTGGACTGATCACTCTTTGGACATATATTTGGGATATTTTGAGAAGAGCCTCAGGAAAGGCTTCATTCCACCAGGCCCACCTGTTTCCCCCTTTTAGCACTGGAATCAGATATCTCCCTTAGCCACATTCAAGGACTAACAGAAATAACAGTCCAGACCACCACATAACAGTCTCCCGAATTAAGGTAAATTTCACATGGAGACACCACCTAGGTCAGATAGACCTTAAGTAATAGCTTTGCACAATTTATGCTTGGACCCTTCTTTCTTATACAGTCTTACTAACATTTTAGACTCCTAACTTCTTACCTAGCCACTTCTAGGAATACAGGCTGAGCATATAAATTCCCTTTTCTTGCTATACTAACTGATCATTAGCTCTCAGCTGACCTCCTCCTTTACCACTCCCTTTTTGGGTTGTAAAAGAAAACCTGATGGTCACTCCCTGAGGAAAATTCTTACCTGCCTTTATGACCCTGTAGGAATTCAAGCCTGGAAACCTGGCTCGAGGAAGAGGATTGCTATTGCTTGGGTTTATAACTGAATACCCTAGAGAACTTGAGGATGGAGAACTGAGAGGGAGAAGGAAGATTTTGACTAGAGAACTTGAGGTCAAGGTGGAAGATGAGGAACAGCCAGATGGGGAAGTACTAGATGGGTAAGAACGAGATGAGAAGAACCTAGATGAGGCAGAATTAAGATGAGAGAATTAAGATAGAACTTAGAGGGGACAGCAGATAAAGGTAGAGAGAAATCAGGTAAGAAAGGAGTTGGGCACAAAAACAGAACTGAAGCTGTGTAGATAGGATTTTATCCCAGAGGAATAAAGTAGATGGAAAAGAGCTTGGTGTGCTTAGATTCTTTTCCCGAAAATAATTCTCGCCATTCATAGCTTCTCTTCTGGGCCCCTGGGAAGAATATTATTAAGGTTGGTCCTTTAATAACACTATTCTGTTTCCTCTTCAGCCCATCTTATTTTCTTCCTCTTGTTACTGTTTTTTTTTTTTTTTTTTTTTTTTTTTTTTTTTTTTTTTGAGACAGGGTTTCTCTGTGTAGCCCTGGCTGTCCTAAAACTCATTCTGTAGACCAGGCTGGTCCCAAACTCAGAGATCTGCCTGCCTCTGCTGGCCAGTTCTGGGATTAAAGATGTGAGCCACCACCCAGCCTTCTTATCATTTCTTACCCTACAACCTCTTTTTTGTCATCTCCCTTTTTCTCTCTCTTCCTTCCTGTGGGAAGAATGGCTCATGCTATCATGTACTAGCTAAGTGCCTGGACTATGAGCTGGCCTTAGAAAGGCTTATGGTAGGATAGATTAGGAAGCCATTGGTTTCTTTTCTTAGGAAAAATGGAAGTTGTTTTGATTCTCACACATTCCCAACCATAGTACTTATTGCTAAGACTGAATATTAGACCCACCACACACACACACACACACACACACACACACACACACACACACACACACACACACACCCCACAGGCCTGCTTTCTTTATGAAGGTAAGAGCCTTGACTCTGGGGACTAGAGAGAGATTGCTTTGTTTGAAAGCACCCTGCCTGCCTCGGCTTCTGGCTTTTGCTCCTCACCAGGTTCCTTACAAGCCACTGAAGCTTCCAGCTCTTGGGCAGGGGTTCATTCTGGCAAGGCAGGAACAAGATGATGTGATTGGTTTGCTTTCTTTGTGGCCTTGTTTTGGGCAGGTCTTTCCCTGGCTGTGCCCCAGGAGTCTGTTCTCTTTCTAATTTGTAAAATCCAGGATCCACTGGTCTCTTCAGTTCAGAGGTAGTGTCCTATCTCTGTTCCTCACTTGCTTTGTGATGTAAGACCACATGGTTTCAGTTTCTTTGTAACCTAGATATGCTAAAATGTGTCACTCAAGGTTATAGGAAGGAAAACAAAATAAGTTTGGTCTTGGGTTTGGGGTTTTTTTTTGTTTGGTTGGTTTTGTTTTGTTTGGTTTTTTTTTTTTTGGCTTTATTTTTGAATTACTTGTAGAAATGGCTGACGTAGGCAATGATGTTTTTCATTTCCTCTTGTTTTCTCTGTCTGCTTCAGTCTTCTTGCTGATCATATTTTATCGCCTTATTTGCTAACTCTGCTTCTTTTCTTTCCAAACTCCTTTGAACAGAGAAGGGCATTAAATATACCACAACCAACCCATCACCAAGCCTTTTCCTTTCTTCTCCCTTTTACTGTCTCTCAAATCAGTTTCTTAGTCCATCTCCATCCAGCTCATGGACCCAAGAGCCCTAATACTTATGACATCACTGCTTCTTCACACCATGGGGTGTCACTGTTGCTCTCCTTCCTAACTCTCCTGGTCCCACAGCAGCACCATTCAGTGGCCTAGCCATCATCACCAAGAGAGAAGCATAGGTGTCCTTCAGAAGTTTCTTCTTGGTAGATTTTATCAGGTTCATCTCTTGGTGCCTAATTCTCTGGAATACTCTTTCCAAGTCTCTGAAAGTGCCATATGCAGTGGATCTCAATTGTTTTGCCTCCAAATTCACTATTCTACCTACCACTTGCATAGACACTAATAGGGGGTAGGTGTGTTTACTTTTATATAACATTATGTAGTATATAAAATAAAATATAACTATAATATTATTTTTGATATATGTGTATATCACAGACTACATGTTTACATGTCTAACTCTATATTATGTTTGTAATCTGAGCTATAATGGAGTAAAACAAAGCTCTCTAAGTATGAATCATTATTCTACCATTATATAATATGGACCAGTAGAGTTTACCTCTCTGAGCCTCTGCTTATTTATAAAATAAGTATAAATAGTAGTACTTACTCAAAGGGAATCTATGAGGATGAAAATGAGTTAATACATGTGAAGTACTTGAAATAACGTCTGGCATATAATAAGTACTCAGTACTGGATTTTGTGGTATTTCATATTTTTATATTGCATCTTGATATCCTATGCCTGTTTTAGCATATCTAAACTTAAGAAATGTCTTACAGCATTGCAGCATGTCAGAGTTTGTTTTTTTCCCTTTTTAGTAGTATATAAAATAATGATGTCCTTTATAGTTAGTGAGATCCTAAGAGTCAGTGAATTATGTCATATGGATATTATCCCTGCCTTCTTTTTTAAAACTACACTTGGGGCTGGAGAGATGTCTCAGTGGTTAAGAGTGTGTTACTGCTGTTCCAGAGGATCTGAATTTGGCTCCCTGAATCCGTCCCAGGTATAGCTCCAAGAAATCAAATACATCTGGCTTCCTCTGACACCTGCACTCCCATGTACATACCACGCCCCCTACACATAGAACACACACAATTAAAAGTAATAAAAACTAAAATTACATTTGTATACTTATTGTATGTGTGTATTCCCATGTCATGGTGCATGTATGTGCAAGCATGAGTGTGTGAGTGTGTAAGTCAGAAGACATTCAAAAGAGTCAGTTCTCTCCTTCCACCTAACTCTGGTTGTCAGGCTTGTTGACAAGTACCTTTACCCATCTGAGATAGCTCTACAGCCCCCCTATTCCTATTTCCTCAGACAATGAATTTTTTCATATTACCAAGGGCAGATTATCTTCTAACCCTTTATCTACGTGAATTGCTTTTCTTTAATTTGCAAAAGCAAAAGGCGAGCTGGGCTTGGTGGCACATGCTAGTAAGACCCTGCATCCAAAAAAAAAAAAAAAACAAAACAAAACTCAAAAAACAAACGAAAACCCAAAAAGATAAAAACAAACAAACAAAAACAAAACAGATAAAGGCAGCTTTACCCCTCTTCTTGGTATCTCTTCTGCAAGAAGAAAGACTCTGAAACACAAAGACCTGCTATTCATGAGTGTGTATTCCATGTTCATGCTTGGAGCATTGTACTACTCATACATTCATTTCAATGTCCAACTCTGCGGAGACCTCCTCAAGCCTTCTCAGGGTCCCCTTCCCTTCACTATGCTGGGCTAGGGGCTCCAGGCAACTCAGTGATTTATCATACTGTGAGAACCTCTTGTGATTGTCCCTTTATTCTCATGTGTTCTCTGTTGTCATATTATGAGGAAACTTCCTTTTTGCCCATTTGCTCTTGTATACTAATTCTTATATACTTATTTTTCATGCATCCCCTCTTGTTTCAAGAATCCAAGTTAGACAACTTGAGGAAGAACATTCTTGCACAAGTACAAAGTGAATGCTGGAGTCGTAATCAGCAGCTGATGACAGAGTTGACAGATTTCTTGCGGGTCTTCCAAACCATCAACTCAGACATCCATGCCATTGCACAGTGCTCCCAAAAGGTGAGGTCTCCTCATCCTTTCTTCCTTGTATATCCAGGGCCCTGCCTGCTCAAGGGCTCAGCACACTCTCTTTAGATTTCTGTTGAGCTTTATGGGGTTTGATGATCTTAAACTATGCATATATATATATATATACATATATACATATACATATATGCTTATATATGTTATCTGTTCTTGCTGATTCTTGCCCTGTTTGTGTAGTGCTTTGCTTACTCATGTCAGGACCAGACCCTGAAGAAACAAGATAGAGTCTTGCCTTAAGACAATGTTCTCAACCTGTGGGGCGAGACCACTTTGAGCATCCAACAACCCTTTCATGGGGGTTGCCTAAGATCATTAGAAAAGGGGGCTGGAGAGATGGGTCAGTGGTTAGGAGCAATGACTGTTCTTTAAGAGAACCTAGGTCCAATTCCTAGCAACCACATGGCAACTCACACCTGTCTATAATTCCAGTTCCAGGGGACCTAACACCCATGGCAAAAGACTGATGTACATAAAATAAAAATAAATAATTTTTTTAAAAGATCATTAGAAAACACGGATATTTACATTGTGATTCATAACAGTAGCAAAATTACAGTTATGAAGTAGCAATGAAATAAGTTTATGGTTGGGGTCACCACCACATGAGGAACTGTATTTAAGAGTCACAGCATTAGGAAGGCTGAGAACCACTGCTTTAAGAGGTATGGTTCTTTTCCTTGTGACAGTAGGTAATTTAGAGATATGTTGTCCTGTCATCAGGTCTGGGAGATTAAAAACTAGACCACTTTTAAGACCTGAGTCAAAAAGGAATCTGATCCTAGATAACTCTTCTATCTCAAATGGTTTAAATGCTGAAGCTGGCTCTGGAGCCTCCAGATGCCCACTCTGGAAGATGAGATTGCCTCTTGAGGGTGAGTTCAAAGAGGTAGGCAGGTTTTTTTGGGTGCTGGTCTCATGCTGTAATCTCTGCAGTTGAATGAAGCCAATGAGCAATACAGCCAGCTGGAGGAGCGAGTGGAATATGTCCGATCACTCCATGACCTCATCCGCAACCACTGTTTCATTGCTGAGAATGAGACTCTAGACATCTCGGTGAGAGAACAATTCAAGGAATCATTCATCCCTTTTGGTCTCCCTCCTCTATAACCACATCTCACTGTCTTCTGCTTGCCCCACAGCTTCTGGATATATGGGAGGCATTTCAGTTTGAGAGAAGCCAGGCTTCAGAATTCCTGCTTAGTAAGCGACATGCCATTGTGCCCAAGCTGCAGCAGCTGATGGCAGCAGCATTGGCAGAGCTGGAAGGCCTGTTGGCAACGGCACTGTCTGGTCCCTTCATGGATCCTTCACAAGAACAGAGGAGCACTGAGCACCAGCTTACTGCCTTGGAGCACCAGTTCTTGAACACATACAACAACTTCAACGAACTACGCTATGCTTACACCACCTTCACTGGTACTGATCTTCACCTTCTCCTCTTTCACCCTATGATGAACCCTCCAACTAAGATAAGGGTTGGGACTCCAGGTCTTGTGCCCTCTGTGATCCTAAGCAAGCCTTGGGAATCAATACCTCCACTGGTCTCTTATAAACAAACATGCAGGACAAAAAGCTCATTCGTTGTAGGACTCAGGTATTAGTGGATACAGGAAGTTCACAGTCTGGTAGAGAAAACAAACAGCTGAATGTTTCATTAGATTTTGATGGGGCCCAGGGTAAATGCTGATTAGGGAGAAATGTATACACTCATTAGAAAACTTAGTACTGGTCAGTGTTGTCATATTCCACGCAGCAGGTCATAGAAAAGAATAGCCAAGATCTTGATGTGGTAAGCACTGCCTCCAGCCAATGTATCAAGAAAAAGGACTGGTGAGGGCCTCACTATCCCACAGGCGCCAACCAGGACAGAGCTACTTGTCTGAGATCAGTCTTCCTCTGCAGGAGTGCAGCTAGGCTGCCTCCCTTCTGCTTGTAACTGCATAGGCTCTTTTCTCATACACAGTCACTTAACTCTTGGAAGGGCACAGTGTGAGTTGCTCCTTGGTAAGCTACCAACTGGGCCTTATGGCCAGGTGCAATGAGAAATGCTTTAGAACCATCCTTCATCAGGAATTTCTCTGTCTCTTCTTTTAAGTACTGGGAAGCCTGCAGCCCATATCCTAACATGTCAACTGTAGACTTGACCCTTCTTGTTAGGAGTTTGAATTATTGACAAAAAATCAGGGCAGAGGAGTGGTGCCAGGCCCAGAGAACTGCATAGCAGTGTGTTCACTTGCTTCTTCTGTCCCAGCTTTGTAAAAATAATCTAGTCCTTTAGATCTTCTTGATTTAATAATCATCCTCAATTTCTGAGAGTTCATTCACTTACTCATTCATTCAACACTTACTTGGTTAGTGCCTGCCATGTACTGGACTCAAAGTACATCAATGAACAAATGGCGAATCATCTTCTGTAATGGACCCAATATTGCGGCTGGAGAAGAAAGATGATAAATAATAATTATAAAACATTACTAAACTATGTAGCATATTAGGAAATTATAGGTAATGTAGAGAAAACATAGCAGAACAAGAGCGTCAGAAAATGCCAATGAGTGGAGAACAATGCTTTATGGGATAGGTACTATTTGAACAAGGACTTGGGGTTGGAGGTGGTGAAGGTGTGACTGGTGGTTCTCTGTGGCAAGAGGTTTCTCATAAAGAATGAACTGGGCAGAAGCGGGTGTGCCTGGGATATCTGAGCTACAGTCAAGTCCACTGTGACTGGAATTGAATTGAGTGGGTGAGCTAGAGACTAATAGAAGAGAAGCTCTTTTATTTTGCCACTATGGTATTTGCCCAGGAATCCTCTCTTTGAAATAATTGCTCTTTGCATGGCCCCACTTCCACTGCTGAACTGAGAGATTTACATAGGCACCACACCATCTTTTCTTTCTTTTTTTTTTTTTTAACTTTTGTTCATTAAGGGCTCTTCACTGGCTCATTATTCCCTCAATAACCCAAGTCTTAGCCAGCCTTATTCCACAGGGGATGAGAGTTCTATGTCCCCACCTGCTTCTGGGAGCCGGCCTATTATACAGCAGCAGCGCATCTGGAGGCTCTACCGAATGATCTCTGAAAACTTCAGTGAGTGGAAGTGCATGGCTTTTACCAAGGTACTTCCAGGAGCTCTCACCTGGGGCAGAAGTCTACCAGGTGGAGGTGGGTGAGTCAGTTCGACTGTGAACTCTTCTCTGTGCAGTTCAGCCTTCTTATGGCCTGGGAGAAGACAGAAGCCTGGTTGACAGAGGCTGCGCGGCTCAGCACCACCCTGGGGATGCACAATCCAGTGCTACAACGCTGCATGCGCATGCTAGAGGAGTTTCGAAGCTACCTGCCCTTGCTCACTAAGCTGGGCAGCCTCCAGTTTCAGAACTTTAACTGCCAATCCCTCTTGAGAGGTGTGTTTGGTTAGAAACAGGGGAGAGGGATGGGAAAGACACAGTGTTTAGAGCAATTTCCCTGCTGCTCCTGCTGGAAACCTTGTGTCCCCTTTCCCACATATGCTAAACTCACTTCACCCAGGAGGAACACATTTTTATGCTCCCTCATTACAACACAGGGTCCTCTCAACTGATGGGATTGGACTCAGGCTGGAGTCTCAGATCTGGGGGTTGAATTGTGTCTGGACCTTGGGTTCTGGGTTCTTGGCTTTGTGTTGTACTCCTGATCTTGCACTGCAATCCAAGCTGGTCTGGGCTCAGGGTAGAAATGAGCTCTAGGATATGAGCTCCATTCAGCCATATGCTAGATGTTATTCTTACTTGCTTATTCTATTCCAGTATTAGGGCTGGGCAGTCTCCAAAGCTTGGACCTTCTCACACTGGGCCAGCTGCTCAACTGTCCACTGCTGGAATTTTCAGACCGAATCAATCAGGTGGGGCCCACAAGGAGGAGGGGGCTGGTTGTAGCCACTATTTGTAATAAAACCAGTCAAGGCCTAGCAGTCCCTTGGACTATAGCGACAGTAGTGGTTGGCATGTAGGTAGAGGGAAGTTGGGACTGATGACCTTCCTGGAGGGTAGGAAGAGTCTCCATCTACAGATGAGGATCTGATAGGCAGTTCCAGACTCTTATCTGACCAAATGCTTCCCTTGGTGGAAGGAAGTGAATGGTAGCCTCAAAGCTGTGGACACATAGACGAACAGATATCTGCCAACATTTACTTTATCCCTAAAGGACATACTGGCTCTAGGGTATTGCCTACTCAGTGGGATCCATCCAGGAGGCTGCTCCATGGAGGCAGCAGTCCTGGGTCAAGCATTAATAGTTCGATGCTGCTGCAGCCAGCACATCCCTGAAGCCTGATGGTTCTACTCCTCCTTCATATCAGAGACCGCCACACGCCAGGCCCTTGAGTTCTGCCTCAGACCCAAACTCAAGTCCTAATTTCAAGGCTATCTTTCCTGAGCCACTAGCTAGTTCTGGTTTCTGAGACATACCTTTTCCAGGTCTGGCAGTATGATAAAGAACGAATTCATGCCCAAGAGAGCCTACAGCAGATGCAGCAGTACTGGGAGGGGCGCCAGCTGCGCCTGCTCAACTTCATCCTGCATGTGCCCTACAAGCCCCCAACCTCAGAGCGGTCCAAAAGGCAGGCATTCCGAAGCCCCCGGTGGGAGTTAGTGGGCAAGGATAGTGGCACCTTCCTCCTCTCAGGTGAGTCTCAGCCTTTGTGATCCAGCAAATGTCTCCAGCTAAAGGCTCTTCTCATTTACCAATTTTGTCAAATATGGCTCCTGTAGTCAGGCCCCAATCCTTAAGGATAACTTAAGGCATCCATGTGTTGAGACAGTATCTTCCATGCTCTCTTAATGTCTTAATCTTTCCAGGAACTCTTTTTTTTAATTAATTTTTTTCCAGCCAGATCACAGTTTCCTCTCCCTCCCTTCTCTCCTTTCAGTCCCTCCCCTACCCCCACCCCATTCACTCTTCCTTTCTCTTCAGAAAAAGGCAGGCCTCCCATGTATATAAGTCAGCCATGGCATATCAAGTTGTGGTAAGACTAGGTACCTCCTTTCCTGTTGAGGCTGGACAAGGCAACCCAGTAGGAGGAAAGGGTCCCCAAAGCATGTAACAGAGTCAGAAACAGCCCCTGCTCCCACTGTTAGGAGTTCCACAAGAAGACCAAGTCGCACAACTGGAGCATATATGCAGAGGGCCTAGGTCAGTCCCATGCAGACTCTCTGGTTGGTGGTTCAGTCTCTGTGAGCCCCTAGGAGCCCAGGTTAGAAGATTCTGTGGAGGGTTTTTTTTTGTTTTGTTTTGTTTTTTTGTGATGTCCTTGGTTCCTCTAACTCCCATAATCCTTCCTCTCCCCTTCCACAAGATTCCCCAAGCTCCACGTAATGTTTGGCTGTGGGTATCTGCATCTGTTTCCATCAGTTGCTGCATGAAGCCTCTCTGATGATAACTGGACTACAACAATCTATGAGTAAAGCAAAATATCATTAGGAATCACTTCATTGACTTTTTTTTTTTTGCCAGTCACGTTTGGTTCTATCCTAGATCTCTGGGCTGTCCAGCCTCTGGGTCCTGGCCCTCCAGACAGTGTCAGAGGTGGGCTTTCTCTTAAGGTATGGGTCTCAAGCTGGACCAGTCGTTGGTTGGCCACTCTTATAATTTATGTGCCACCTTTACCCCAGCACATCTTGAAGTCAGGGCAAATTGTAGGTCAAAGGTTATGTGACTGGGTTCAGGTCCCAATTCCTCCACTGGAAGTCTTGCTTGGTTACAGGAGATGTCCAGTTCAGGCTCTGTATCCCCCGTTGCTAGCAGTCTTAGCTAGGGTCACCCTCATAGATTCCTGGGAGTTTCCATTGCACTGGGTTTCTAGCTCATCCAAGAGATGCCCCTGATTTCAGTTGTCTCACCCAATGCTCTCTTCCTCCATCCTCCCTGTGGGGGACCTAACCATTTCTCTGTGGGAGACCCACTCCCACATTTTCCCCAGGGTACTCTTGAGGAGGGAGTAGTGAGACATACTTAGATAGAAGGATAGAAGGGAGAGAAACAGATAGAAACACAGGATAGCCTCGGGAAGGCCTGGATAATTATCGACTGGCCCCTTCTGTCTCTTCTAAAGGGCTTTTCATAGGAATGCCAAGGGGTGGAGCAAAAGACCTCCCCTTAGCACAGCCAAGTGCAAACCCTTTCCAATTACCTGGTAGCCACACACATGGTCAAGCAATCCTCTAATGCAGCCCTGCTGGTTAAAGCAAACTCAGATCTCACTAGGAAACTTTGTGGGCCTCCACACCTCCCCCCACCTGATCCCTCCTGTTCCCATCCTCGACATCTAGACCCCTCTTCTTTTTTTTTTTTTTTTTGGTTTTTCAAGACAGGGTTTCTCTGTGTAGCTTTGCGCCTTTCCTGGAACTCACTTGGCAGTCCAGGCTGGCCTCGAACTCACAGAGATCCACCTGGCTCTGCCTCCCGAGTGCTGGGATTAAAGGCGTGCGCCACCACCGCCCATAGACCCCTCTTCTATCCACCATGATGTCTATTCTATTTCCCCTTCACAGTGAGATTTATGTGTCCCCTCCCCACCCCCCGGAACTGTCCTTGTTACCTAGTCTCTTTGGGTCTATGGATTGTAGCATGGTTATCCTTTACTTTACGGCTAATATCCACTTATAAGTGAGTACATACCATGTTTGTCTTTCTGAGTTTGGGTTACTTCACTCAGGATGATCTTTTCTAGTTCTATCCATTTACCTGCAAATTTCATGATGTCATTGTTTTTTAACAGTTGAGTAGTACTCCATTGTGTAAATGTACCACATTTTCTTTATCCATTCTTCAGTTGAGGGGCATCTAGGTTATTTTCAGTTTCTGACTATTATAATTAGAGTAGCAATGAACATGGATAAAGTTGAATGAATAGAGCTGCTATGAACATAGTTGAGCAACTGCTCCTGTTATATATAGACATCCTGGTATATACCCAGAAGTGCTATAACTGGGTCTTGAGGTAGACCCATTCCCAATTTTCTGAGAAACCTCCATATTGATTTCCAGAGTGACTGTACAAGTTTGCACTCAAACCAGCAATGGAGAAGTGGTCCCCTTTGCTCCACATCCTCACCAGCATGAGCTGGTATTTTTGATCTTAGCCATTCTGACAGATGTAAGATAGAATATCAGAGTTGTTTTGATTTGCAGTACCCTGATGGCTAAGGATGTTGAACATTTCCTTACATGTTTTTCAGCCATTTGAGATTCCTCTGTTGAGAATTCTCTGTTTAGATCTGTAGCCCATTTTAAAATTGTATTATTTGGTCTGTTGGTAATCTAGTTTCTTGAGTTCTTTATATATTTTGGCAGTCAGCTCTCTGTCAGATGTAGGGTTGGTGAAGATCTTTTCTCATTCTGTAGGCTGCTATTTTGTCCATTTGACAGTGTCCTTCACCTTAAAGCAGCTTTTCAGTTTCAAGAGGTTCCGTTTATTAATTGTCGATCTCAGTGTCTGTGCTATTGGTATTATATTCAGGAAGTAGTATCTGTACCATTGTGTTCAAGGCTAGTTTCCACTTTCTCTTCTATTAGGTTCAGTGTTTTATGTTGAAGTCTTTTGTGCAGGGTGATAGATATGGATCTATTTGCAATCTTCTACCTGCTGACATCCAGTTAGACCAGCAGCATTTGTTGAAGATGCTTTCTTTTATCCATTGTATATTTCTGGCTTCTTTATCATAAATCAGGTGTCCATATTATGTGGATTTATGTCTGGGTTTTCAATTCAGTTCCATTGATCAACCTGTCTGTATTTATGCCAATATCATGTGGTTTTTTAAAATTATTACTATGGCTCTATAGTACAGCTTGAAATCAGGGATGGTGATACCTCCAGAAGTTCTTTAACTGTATAGGATTGTTTTTGCTATCCTGGGTTTTTGTTTTTCTATATGAGGTTGAGTATTGTCCTTTCAAGTCTGTAAAGAATTTTGTTGAAAGTTTGATGGGAATTATGTTGAATCTGTAAATTGCTTTTGGTAAGATGGCCATTTTTATAATGTTAATCCTACCAATCCATGAGCTTGGCAAATTTTTCCATCTTCTGATATTTTCTTCAGTTTCTTTCTTTCTTTCTTCAAAGACTTGAAGTTCTTCCCATACACGTCTTTCACTTGTTTGGTTAGAGTTACACCAAGATAGTTTATATATTTGTGGCTATTGTGAAAGGTATTATTTCCCTAAATTCATTCTCAGACCATTTGTTGTTTGTATATAGGAGGGCTACTGATTTTTTTTTTTTAGCTTATTTTGTATCCAGCCACTTAGCTGAAAGTGTTTATCAGCTGTAGGAGTTCCCTGGTGGAATTTTTAAGCTCACTTATGTATACTATCATATCGTCTGCAAATAGTGATACTTCGACTTCTTTTCCAATCTGTATCCCCTTGATTTCCTTTAGTTGTCTTATTGCTCTACTTAAGGCTTCAAGTACTATATTGGATAGATATGGAGAGAGTGGACAACATTGTCTTGTCCCTGATTTTAGTGGAATTGCTTTAAGTTTCTCTCTATTTAATTTGATGTTGGCTATTGGCTTGCTGTATTTTGCCTTTATTATGTTTAGGTATGCTCCTTGTATCCCCAATCTCTCCAAGACCTTTATCATGAAGGGGTGTTGGATTTTGTCAAAGGCTTTTTCGGCATCTAATGAGATGATCATGTCATTTTTTTTGTTTGTTTGTTTCAGTTTGTTTATATGGTGGATTACATTGAGAGATTTTCATATGTTGAACTATCCCTGCATCTCTGGGATGAAGCCTACTTGATCATGGTGAATATATGTTCTTGGATTCTGTTTTTGAGCATTTTTGCATCTATGTTTATGTGGGAAATTGGTCTGTAATTCTCTTTCTTTTTTTCTTGAGTCTTTGTGTGGTTTGGGTATCACTGTGGCCTCATAAAATGAATTTGGTAATGTTCCTCCTGTTTCTATTTTGTGGAATAATTTGAGGAGTATGTAAAAGAAAAAACAGCCAGGCGGTGGTGGCACATGCCTTTAATCCCAGCATAAGTAGGCAAATCTCTGTGAGTTTGAGGCCAGGCTGGTCTACAGATCAAGTTCCAGGACAGCCAGAGCTACACAGAGAAACCCTGTCTTGGAAAAAAAAAAAGAAAAACATAAATTCTTTGTGGTTATTTCTCTCTACTTGTCAATGCTCGGTCCTCTGGATTTTACCCTGCTGATGTTATATTTTACCTACTCATCCATTCATTCTTTCCCCTGCTAGTTGACAGAAGAGGACTCTGTTTGGTCCCTGAGCCTTGGGCCAAGCATGACCTCAGCTTTATTTGCCCTTCTTCTTGGGGCACAGGTTGTTGATGTGGCTATGCTTCTTTTGATAGTTGACTGCACAGGGGTGCAGACATGCATAGCACTTGTGGCAGTTGACCCCACAGGGGTGCAGACATGCATAGCCCTTGTGGCAGTTGACTGCACAGGGGTGCAGACATGCATAGCACTTGTGGCAGTTGTACTTCTCGGTGAACTCAACAAGAGCATACCTCAATAATGCCACCACATAGGCACAGCACCAGGTGCAGGGTGTACTCTTTCTGGATGGTGTGGTCAGGCAGGGTGTGGCCATCCTCCAGCTACTTGTCAGTGACATCAGCCACTGCTGGTGGGATGCCTTCCTTGTCTTCGATATTGGCCTTGACATTCTCCATGGTGTCATTGGGCTCAACCTTGAGAATGATACTCTCGCCCATCAGGGTTTTCATGAAGATATCTATGTCTGTTTGTTGGCCACCTTGTTGAAAGACAAAGAGCCATTCTTCCTTTTATTCTCTTGTTAAATTCATGGACCTCTTTTGTGCCAAACACAAGGCACTCTGAGATTGATTTAGCCCTATATCTAATGAGAAACTGACAGTACCATTTATTTATTTATTTATTTATTTATTTATTTATTTATTGAGACAGGATTTCTTTATGTAGCTTTGGCTGTCCTAGAACTAGCTCTCTATGTAGACCAGGCTGGCCTCAAACTCACAGAGATTTGCTGGCCTCTGCCTCCCTAATGCTGGGATTAAAGGCGTGTGCCACCACTGGCCAGCCAATAACATACATTTAAATGCATGATAGACTATCATATTGAGGACAGTAGGTAAGTGAAGACCAGCTCAGAGAACCAGGGTTATTAAGAGAACTACCACTTTAGACAGTGAACCCAGGCTAACCTTTGAAGAAGTAAGTTTGTCAGACTTGCAAGGTGAGAAAAACATTCCACATAGGGAACAGCACTTTTACAACTTAGAGGAGGAAAGGGTTTATTTGGCTTATAGGTAACAGTGCACCATCGTGGGAAGCCAAGGCTGGAACTCAAGGTAGGCATCTGGAGACAGGAACTGAAGCAAAGACCACAGAGGAATGATTGCTACTAGGTTGCTTCCTCTGGCTTACTCAGTTACCTCTCTTATATAGCCAAGGCCCACCTGCCTAGGTATGGTTCAGCTTACAGTGGGCTGGGCCCTCCTACATCAATTGATAATCAAGAAAATGTCCACAGATGTACCCATAGATGAAGTTAGTTTCGTAATTAAAGTTCCTTCTTCCCAAATGTGTCTAGTTGAGATCTAACTTGAAGCTAACTATGACAAAAAGCATCTAAGAGGATGTGTTGGGAATTACTGGTAGAGAAATTCTCTTATTCAACATAACTGGTGTCAGTGAATCCAAGAGATTAGTTAAATATGTAATCATGATAGGTGGGTAAGTAGGTAGCTAGGACTTCAGATTTTTTATTTTAGCCAAAACATTTGCTAACATTTTATTCTAAGAATAAGAGCTTTTTATTTCTTTTTTTAAGATTTATTTTTTATGTATACAGTATTCTGCCTACATGTATGTCTGCAGGCCAGAAGAGGGTGCCAGATCTCATTACAGATGGTTGTGAGCCACCACGTGGTTGCTGGGAATTGAATGCAGGACTTCTGGAAGATCAGCCAGTGCTCTTAACTGCTGAACCATCTCTCCAGCCCAACAAGAGCTTTTTATAAGCTCACCTTTACCTTCTATAGTTTCCATAAAAACGGCAACTCTTTTCTCACACATATTCCAGTAGTTACTGCTCTTTTAGATTAGATTATATAATTAAAATTGTGACATAACTCACACAAATAGGTTTTCAAGCATATTTGCATTTAATCAGGTAAACAATTTAACTTGGATCAAAAATGATGGAATATTCTAAATAATAGCTTGATGTTTATGTGGTTCTGTTGAATTTTGATCATTAGACAGTACCACTGTAGTGGTTTGATTTGCAATGTCTCCCATATACTAATGTATTGAGGGTTTGATTGACAGTTGATGGGCTTTGGGGAAGTGATAGGATTCTAAGGCTTTACTCTTGATGGATTCATAGTGCAATTGAATTGTTGGGTGGAAGAAAGTAGGAGATAAGGCCTAATTGGAGAAAGTAGTTCACTAGGGATATGTCCTTGAGAGCTGTATCTTGCTTTGGCTCTTCCCATTTTCCCATTTCTCTGCTTCCTGGTATGATGTAAACTGCTGTGTTTATCCTCCCCACCATGATTGGCAAAACCTCTGAGACTATGCACTAAATTAAGTCTCTCCCTCCTTAGTTGTGTGTGCCAGGCAACTAATCATAGCAACAAAACTTCTGATTAATACAGTCAGTATATCTATGATAGAAAGTAGGAACATCCACTAGAGGACTTTCCAACTCACTGAGACTAGAGCCCAAAGACTACTTGGAACAGGAAATAGGCATGTGAAGTTAGAGAGATCAGATCATGCAAAAGAATTTATTCAGCAATATTTAAATCATGGGGAATGTCTTGTTGTAGGGAAGTGATGAGGTCACATTTTAGCTCAACAAAGATAATTGGGTAGCAAAGAATAGAGACTGGAAGATGAGTTAAGAGGCAACTGGTGTAACTCAAGTGAAAAACAATAATGGCCTATACTAGAATGGTAGCAACAGAGAATGAGGAAAGTAGGTGCATTTGGGCTACTTCTGAGTCTGTCTAGGCAAAATGTATAGCTAGTGCAAATTTGTTGTGGAAAAGAAGATATGTCTTTTCTATTATAACAGGAATCTTTATCCTTACACACATCCATGTGCAGTATTTGGTTTAGAATACCTTTCCTATCTATTTTTACATGGAATTCTTGTTCGCACTTCTCTTATTTTGGACTAATCATTTTCAGTGTTGACTGAAACATATTAAGATCAGACATCTGTAGTTAATACTCACACCATGATTCAATGGACATTCTCTTCCTACTTTTGACATGAGCACATTTTATGCTGATCTTTTTGCCCGTGTTTGACCCTGGTTCCACACTTTGTCAATCTGCTTCTTTGTTCTATTCTACCTTCCTGTATCATTCTTAGATTCCTCTGCTACTAAAATAATATTAAAAACTAGTGGAGTACAAACTATGGATTTGTTTGTGAAGTTTGGTTCACTACCTCTAAGTATAACTTCAGGTGCCAAGTGAACTCTTCCAATCTTCACTTGCGTTCACAGTCCTTATCTTATCCTTATCCTACTTTCTGTCCAACTTTCCCTCTGGCTCTAATTCAAACAGAAGATTGTGTAGTTGACATTTCTCCCTACAGGTTTTCTCCTTTCTCTGTACTAGACATCTGCATCAGTTCTGGGTATATTAATTAATTTTTATGGTGGCCATACACCATGAAACTAGTGACTTCACTCACCTGAGTGAGCCCAAGATGTCAAAAACTTATGTATTTAATTCATGCCCCAGGAAGACATGTTTTTGTAGGGTTAGTGACACTACTAATCGTTCATTCCCCCTTTTAAGTTCTTAGCAAAATTACGAAGAAGGATATGTATGAAAAGGATAGTTCAACATCCAAAATATCCCCAAGAAAATGTTCTTTTTAAATATATAATATGTTGGCAGACATAGCTAGATTAAGACTTCACACAACCTCTTTTAACCTTCCCAAGATCAGATGAGAATCTGAGGTCTTTGTGGGTATATAAAGGAAATGCGGCATCCAAGCTCTCAGGTAACTATAAGGATTTGTAGTCTGCTCCATGTTCCTTAGACAAGGACAACAGCCTTTATACCTCCCCACCATTCAGTGGTCTTTTAAAGGAGGATAAAATAGAGGACCCAAACTATTCCAATATAGTTTTCTGTAGAGACACTCTGAGATGAAGGTATTGTGTATTTTCTTTCAAACATGGGTATTTAGAGAGTCCTACATCTATCCAAACCAATTTCTCTCAATTCTGTTGTTAACCTAGTTATCTATGCTGTAGCCAGGCCTGTCTCACAAATTATGGGACAACTCTTTAAGTGACCCCAAGTAGCTAAGTGCTAAGACCATGAAAGAAAATTTTGGTCTCAACTTTTCTACCAGGATCTATCCCAGTCATCTCAGAATGGGCATTCTTCCTGCATACATACTATGTAGGAACTTGGAGCCATAAGGCCTTTTTCTAGGATGAAGCTCTGATGCATTAAAGAATGTCTGTAGGACTAGATAAGAATGACAATGTCTAACAGGAGAAGTCAGCTGGTTTGGAGTCTACCCATAGTGCCTGTTTTAAGATCTCAGTTCTCTACCATACCAACTCTATGGACTGATGCAATATCTGAAGATAGAAAAAAGGGTATTGAGGTAATTACCTCCCCTGGAAGATCAAGATGTGCTCTTTCCTGCCTCAGCCCCTGGCCTTTGACTCACATAGAATAATACCAGCTTAGCTGAACTTTAACAGTGCATCCTTTTCTTCCTAAGACTTCAGCAGTCTGCAAGATGCCATCCAGAACAGTCTCCAAGCACTATTCAAGATCCTAGCCATCCAAAAATCAGGAGAGTTGCATAAAATAGCTTTAGAGTGGGTGACCATCATGTATGGCCTGGGTGAGTATATGGCTCTAGTTGGATGGATGGATGGATGGATGGATGGATGGATGGATGGAACCTGATGTAGACTGACCCAGAGGTATGGGGGTGACATGTGGACATTGGATAGAAGATATGAAGGACAGAGTAAGGACTTCCCAGGCTCCTTCTTGGTTTGATGTGACAAGGTCTTTATTTCTAGTGAATGTTTTACTTCCTTTAATCAGGTCCCTGAGATCTGCTGAGCAGTATGCTTCTGTTGGGCTAGTGGGTCACTGGAGAGGTCAGGTGTATGCTAAACCCCCTTGGAGGTGTTAGAACCCTAGAATCTTCCTCAAGTATTTTTCTAACTGCTTACACAGGTGCACTACTGGAGGTATGGGTGGCTTTCCAGCAGAAGTGGATTTTTCTAAATAAAGTTCTACATGAGATGAAGATCCAGTTTCCTGGTGCTGAGCTGGTAGGGAAGGGTGTTAAAGAAGGTGGGCAAGAGCTCCTGAGTATCAGGGCTCTGAGTGGAAGAGTAGAGCTGTAACATTACTCCTCACTTATCACCTTTCTTACCACAGAATGCCCGTTTCAAGGTCATGGATGATCAGTATCGGACCCTAATGCGAATCTCTGTAGCTGACCCAATGGTTCTGTCACTTATAGTGCCCAATGCCAAGAGGAGCCCTTACTTCCAAGGTCAGCATCTACAACAACTACTGAAAGCAGGATCTGTGGAGCTGGAGACCATTATCGTAGCTCTGGAGGATGTCCTCTATGGGGTATGTGCCCACTTCCCCCGCCTTTTCTTCCTCAGTGACAGTGAACTGGTGGCCCTCCTTGCTGCCCCTCTAGAGACCTGTGAGGCCCAGTCATGGGCACAGCGCTGCTTTCCTCACATTAAAGCTGTGAACTTCAGGTCCAACCCAACTGATGAGAAAGGCAAGAATAACCAGGAGTCAAGCTCAACTGCACAGACTCCAGAGGAGACAACTGCTGTGCTAGGGGCATATGGAGAGAAAGTGAAGCTTCACGGTCCTCTTCCTCTGCATCCAGATCTTCCTAAGTGGCTGGCCTCTTTGGAGAAGTGTCTGCGTTTTGTAATAGTGAACCTGCTGCAGAACTGTGTGGCCACCCGCCTTGCTCAAGGCCCATCCCTAGTTAATGCATTGAAGGCACTGCCTCAACAAAGACAGGTGCCCATGCAACTATATGTCCAGCACTGGCTAGATGCGGTCCAGGTTTTTCCGTGGCAGTGCATACTGGTGGCAGAGGAGGTAGTGTGGTGTGCTGAGATGGAGGAGGCTCTGTTTGAAAGGGGGACCATGCGCACGACTCGCATACATGTACACAAGCTGGAGGTACTAGTGCAATTTATACGTGCTCAGAGGAGCTCCCAGGGTGAGCAACCTCTGCCTTCTGTTCTCCAGACTAGCCTATTCAGTATCCTGCTGGTCATGGCAGTGACTCATCGAGATATAGCACAACTCCTGGAGAAGCACCATGTCAGTGATCTGACAGACTTCTACTGGGTCCGCCAACTTAAGTATCGCCTGGGTTCATCTCACTTGAACCCCAAAAGCCCCCTTCAGTGTCTTAAGACTATTTCATCTGCTGATCCCTCTCTGTCACCAGCTGTATGCTGGATAGATGTGCTTGGCCGGTCCTTCATATACAATTATGAGTACCTGGGGCCCAAACTGGGGCCTCTACCCAGCCTGATTCATGAGCGGCAAGTGTTACTTCTCTTATTGGCTCTGGAGGAGGTGGCCTGTGGGGCCCTACTGGGCCGGGATGGTTTGGGCAAGACAGAAATGGTGAATAGCCTGGCATGGACCCTGGGCCGCCAGCTGGTAATGATGCCCTGCTTGCCCCAGATAGAGTTCCGATGTCTGAGCAATTACCTGAATGGTGCCCTTCAGGGTGGGGCCTGGCTGCTGTTGGAGAATGCTCATCAACTACCTCCTAGCTTGCTCTCTGCCTTGGGACAGCGTCTGGATGAACTACACCATCTTTATGCCCCACTGTACCAGAAAGCTTCCAAAAACATCAGTACCATAAACCCTACTAGGCCCCTATTCCTTGGTTCTGGGTTCTTTGAGAAGCATCATGTATCCATGCGCCTTGGCTATGGCTGTTTCCTGACATTTCGTTCCCTGAGCCTTGATGTGCCTGCCAATCTGCACCTGCTCCTACGTCCTGTGGCATTGGCACTGCCTGACCTGCAGCGAGTGGCAGAACTTAACCTGCTGGGAGCAGGGGTGCGGGATGCCTCCCGAATGGCTGCTCGCCTATCCAAATTATTCTCCCTAGAGCGTGAGCTAGTGTCTGGGACTTTGCCCTGCCGCTTGCCATTGCTCAAGCAGATACTAGAAGACACAATACAGATACTCAATACAACTGAGGAGGAAAACAATTCCCAGCAGCCCCACAGCTTAGCTGCTCCTGAGGAGACTGCCCTACTGCATGCCCTGTTGCATTCACCACTGTTCAGCATCCTTGATGGGCTCCGCCTGCAAAAGTTGCGAGAGCTGCTCTGTGGGATTTTCCCTAATGCTAGCCATGTGTTGGCAGAACCTGTGGCCCATAGACTGACGAGGTCAGTAGTGGTGGAAGAACTCCAGCAGGTAGGCCTGCTTCCCACCCCTAACACACTGATGTCGCTGGAGCAGCTCAGTCAGGCCCTGAGCCGGGCTTCTGGTATTCTGCTCCTGGGCCCTGCGGGCAGTGGCAAGAGTACTTGTTGGAAGAGCTTACTTAAGATTCAGAATCGGCTGGCAGCTATGGAACAAACCTCAACCCAAGGTTTCCAGCCTGTGGAAATTGCCCACCTATATCCTAGTGTGCTCAGCTCCCAAGAATTCCTAGGGTGGTCAGAGGGTCCCTCCTGGCACTACGGCATCTTCCCCAAGCTTCTTCATGCTGCCCCTCACGGTAAGAGTGTGGGCTCAGAAGAGCAGCCAGAGCAATTCACAGGGATTCAGCTATGGATAGTATGTGATGGGGCCCCTAATTCTACATGGTTAGACTCCATCACTTGCCTCCTAAGTGACCCTCCCCAGCTGAGTCTCCCTAATGGTCAACAGATAGCGCGACCCCTGAGTACCTTTTTCTTGATAGAGGTGGCAGAGGCAGCAGGCATGTCTCCTACAGTGGTAGGCCGGTGTGCTCTAGTCTGGTGTTGTGGAGATCAGACTTGGCAATACATGCTTAATGTCTTGATGGCATCCCTGCCCCATGAATACCACCTGCAGCAAGAGACAATCATTGAGCTCAACCACATCGCTGAAGTACTGGTGCCTGCAGTGCTCCGATTCCTTACCCGCATAGGTGCCAGTTCTCTGCTACAGGTACATGGGCATCAGACTGTTTGCCCAGGTGTGGCAGAAGTCACCAGCCTGGCTCTCATCTTGCGTGCTCTACTTGACCCCCATCTACGCTTATATGAAGAGGAGAAGCCACATGACCAAGGTAGGGAGGTAGAAAGGTTGGCTTTTGAGAGAGCTGGGATCTTAAGGGTAACTGGGTTACACCTGAGCCAGAAGCATGGTTTCCTTGGTGAAGTTGGTCCAGGGAACTAAAGTGACGAGAAGTAATGTAGCCAATCTCTGTTTTCCCCTCTGTCTTCCTTTTCTATGGATTCCTATTCTGACCATGGTGACCATTGCAGAGGACTTTAGTGGCAGCGATCTTGCAACCCAAAGCTTCAAATCTTCAAAAAGCAGGAGCCAGTCTGACAGTGACAATGTGAATAAAAAGCAGAGGAGGCATTTGCTGGCTATCAGCAGCTTTCTTTTTGCCACAATCTGGGGCTTTGGAGCCCACCTTCCCTCCAGGTACCACAAGAATGGGAAGTATAGTGTACAAAAGAGCAGAGGTAGACCGGTAATTAAAATTCATGGGGCATTACAGTGGGGATATGGTGGAATATATGAATGTCATAGATGGAACTTTTATTACTATCTGACTCTTGCTTGTGTGTCCTCTGAGTAGACACTGGCCTCTCTTTGATAACTTCATGAAGAATTCTATTAGTTCCTTGTCCAACTACCCTGAGCCACCTCCTTCAGCCTTGGTGTTTGATCTACATGTAAACCTTGAAGATGGGACACTGGTCCCCTTTACTGGCCATTACCTGAGCAGCTGTGTCAGAGGAAATCTGGGTACTTTCCAGCCCTCTTCCCAGGTATGAAGACAGTGAAGAAATAGTTTGGGTTGAGACTTAAGGAGCTATGCTAGAGGGTAGCCCATCTTTGAGGTCCTCCTGAGGCGCACTTGTTCCCATACTCAGGTGTTTTCACAATTACAAGAATACATGCCAGGCGGTGGTGGCGCATGCCTTTAATCCCAGCACTCAGGAGGCAGAGGCAGGTGGATCTCTGTGAGTTCGAGGCCGGCCTGGTCTACAGAGCGAGATCCAGGAAAGGCGTAAAACTACACAGAGAAACCCTGTCTCGAAAAACCAAAAAAAAAAAAAAAAAAAAAAAAAAGAAAAGAAAAGAAAAGAAAAAATACACAACACAATTTTCGGCTTGATTGCTGTCCTATCTGGAGCCAGCACAGTAAGTCCTGCTCCTATCCTGCAGACTGAACGGCTTTTGTATACGGTGGACCTGCTTCTATCAAATGGACATCCAGTGCTGCTTGCTGGAGAGATCGCCACAGGGAAGTCAGCTTTTGTGGAGGTGCTAGTGGAGCCAAATCACCCTTCCATTCACAGCCCCATTCACCCTGCTTTAAGTTCTATGCACCTTCGTCACCTGCTGAGCAGAGGGGTCCATGGCCAAACACAAGCCGGCTTTTTTGGGTTTTACCAGGAATCCAAAGGCTCACTCCTTTTCCTGATGGAAGATCTTCACCTGGCTGCTTCTGGTGAGGAGATGGGAGGAGGAAATGAAGGGAAAGCTACTGTTACCTTACACTAAAATCCATGGCAATCTTCATTGATTCAAACATCTGCCTACAGATCAAACTTCAGTATTTTTGTTTTAGTATTGTTGTCTAATTGAACATGTTCTCTTTGCTTTGACTTGTAATTTCTATCTCCAAATCAGACACCTTTCTTTTTTTTTTTTTTGGTTTTTCAAGACAGGGTTTCTCTCTGTGTAGCTTTGTGCCTTTTCCTGGAACTCACTTGGTAGCCCAGGCTGGCCTCGAACTCACAGAGATCCGCCTGGCTCTGCCTCCCGAGTGCTGGGATTAAAGGCATGCACCACCACCGCCCGGCCCAGACACCTTTCTTAAACATAAACCTATTTATCTAACTATATGCTATACATTTCTACCTGCATACCACCAGATCTAGCCCTGGTCTCATCAAGCTCTTTCAAATTGCTTCTGTGTCTCTGAGTAACAGATACCACCATCCAACCAGTTGCTTAAGCTATAACTCTTTAAAAAAATTAACAAGTTGCTTAAGCTATAACTCTTTAAAAAATTAACATTTAGTATGTGTGTGCATGCATGACACAGAGAATGCCAATGTCATACATATGGAGGTCAGAAGAGAAACTTGAGTCCTCTCCTACCATGTGGGGGCCAGGGATTGAACTCAGGTCACCAGGTTCAGTTGCAAGTGCCCTTACCCACTAAGCCATCTCACTGGCCCCCAAAACAGGACTCATGTTGAAGTCTCTTTATCCTTGACTAATGTCTACTCCAATGTTTATCAATTCTGTCTCTTAAATATCATGGTAATCTTTGCACTTCTTAGTTTAGAGGTAGACAATCATTACTTGGAATGTTGACAGCTCCATTGTGAAGCCTTTTTGTGACTAGGCATTATCTGGCTTCTATAATCTACTCTCATTGACTCAACAAGTAGCCCCTTGGGATGCTGTCCTCTCCTCCCTTGCCTTGGCTTATTTGGCAAAAATCCTATTTATTCTTTCTAAGTCATCAAAGACTGTAGAATCTCCAAGAAGCCTGAGCCCCCAGGCTGGGTTAGATATCCATCCTAAACTGTATACAGGTTAACAATCTCATTTTATGATTGCATACACATTTTTTTTGTCACGTGATGGCATGAATCTGTCTCATTCATTTTAGTAGACAGAATAGGAGCTAAATGCCCAATAAGCATTTGTAGAAGAAGAGATAATAAAAGAAAAGGGGGGAAAATTGACTGAAAGTTTGAGATATTGAAATTTAAATTTCCAAAATGTGCTACCTCCAGATGGCAGGTTCTACATGTGGCATGAGAAAAAGCATGACTAACGTTTAAATAGAAGTTGTTTGAGTCAAGGAAGTCAGTAGGCTGAAGTACTGGGTAGCTTGTTCAATCAGATATTGAAGTCTGTTATGGTATGTAGAAAACTTGAGCCAGGTGTATTAATACTATTAAAAACTGAGAGGTAAAATGTATTGAATACTATGTCTTACATGCTTAATATTTTTTGTTTTGTTTGTTTATTTTTCTGTGCATGATTGTTTGCTTGCATGTATGTATGTATATGGACCACATGCATGCTTGGTGCCCGTTAAAGCTAGAAAGGGGCATCAGAGCCCCTGGAATTAGAGTTGCAGACTGTTGTGAGCTGCCATGTGAATGTTAGAAATAGAAACTTGGTCCTCTGGAAGAACAGCCAATACTCTTAAACACTGAGTCATCTCTTCAGCCCCAGGTGGGGATTTTTGTAAAATGATGATTTTTAAAGAGGAATAAGTTCAGAGTGGGGAGAGTGTTAGGGAGCTAGAGAGATAGCTCAGTGTTTAAGAGCTCTTGCTGCTCTTCCATGAGTTCAGTCTCGGCACCCACACTGAGCAGCTCACAACCACCTGTAACTACAACTCCAGGAGAACTGATGCTCTGTTCTGGCCTTTTGGGGTGCTCATATTCACAGACACAGACGGACAGACAGACGCATGCACGCACAAAACTTCAAAAAAAAGAAACAGATAATTTTTTATAACTTGTTTGAGACACCCTAGCTATTAAGTACCAAAATTAATATTAAAATCCAATTCTATTTTGCTCGAAACCTGATAATTCTTTTCAACTATGTTTTGTCCGTTATGAATTTAAATAGTAATTAAGGTGTCGGTAGATAATAAAAGGAATAAAAGCAGATCTAGTAAGATAGATGAATACATAGATGATACATTTCAGCTAAGAAAAGACAAGTAGGAGGGCTAAAAACATTGCAAACAATATGAAAAGTGACAAATATTAGAGCTGCTAGTGTGAAAAAGTGTCTTTGGGTGACAGCCACCAGTACATTTCCTACAAAATTTAAAGAATGACTACACGTTAAAAAAGAAAGAAAAAAAATGTGTCCCACTATCAAGAAGAAGCAAAGAGCTGGGCATGGTGGCACATGCCTGTAATTGCAGCCTTCAGGAAGCTGCAGTAGGAAGATAGGAAGATCATGAGGCCATCCTGAGCTACACAGTAGCTACACCCTCAGAAAGAGGAGGTAAAAGGTAGATGGGAAGAGGAGTTTAATAGAAACTGACCCTGGCATGACATACAAGTTAGATTTAGCAGGAAAATACTTTAAAGCAACTATTAAAGTATTTAAGGGACTGGAGAGATGGTTCAGCAGTTAAGATCACTTGCCGCTTTTCCAGAGGACTCAGGTTTAATTCCCAGCATCCATGTGGCAGCTCACAACCATCTGGAACTTCAGCTCCAGAGGGTCTGACAACCTCTTCTCACCGCTGTAAGTACCAAGCATGTATGTGGTACACATATATATGCAGACAAACATTCATACATGTAATAAAAATAAGTCTAAAATTGTATTCAAGGGTGCTTGAGAGATGACTCTATGGTTAAGAGCATTTAGTTGCTCTTTCAGAGGACTTGAGTTAATTCCCAGCATTCACATGGCAGCTCACAACCACTTGTAACTCCAGCTCCAGGGAGTCTGATGCCCTTTTCTGGCCTCTGCTAGAACCTGCACATACATGGCATATGTTCACACAAACATACACATAGACATAAAAAAATAAAATCTTAATAAGAAATGCTAAATGACTTTGTTCAGCAGAGTGGCCGTGGTAACAAGAGTTAAGAGCATCAAAAATAATGACTGTGGTTGCATATAAACAACTGTCATTTTCTTTATGTACTTTCCTTAAAAGACAGCTGGTAGTCAAAACAAATACAATGATGTTGTTAGTGTGTTTGAACGTGGGTAGAAGTAAAAGCGGGGAGAAATAAAAAATTGTATTACAATATTGTTGTTTTCTTGTATTTGCCTGAGGCAAAAATCAAACACCTGTCCCTAAATAAAGCACATGGATAAACACTGTTTGGAAAAGCCAAAGCCTAGGACCAACCTAAATGCCCCCTCCATGTGTTGTTGATGGATCTACAAATTGTGGCATTTTCATAATGGAATATTTTACTGATATATAAAAACATATGAATGTCAAATGCAGGCAAAGTGAAAGAAAACAGATATGATTAAGTAGCTACTATATGATTCTATTTATACAAACTTCTAGAAGAAGCATAGTTGACAGTGATAGAAATCAGTTCAGAGAGCAATGTATGCATGGTGGGAGAAGGGGGTAACTGTAGAGGAACACACAGGAGCTTTCAGGGCTGATGAAATCTATAGCTTTAAAATGGTGCTTTACAGAGGTGTCTACATTGTCAGAACTCCATTATACATACATTTAGACCTATTTTGTTTTGTGTAAATCATTGTTTTCTCTTTTTTGTTTTTAGATTAGGACATAAAATAATGGGTTTCATTATGGTATTTTCATGCATATGTGTCTTTATACTTTGTTCTCAACTCCCTTCCCACCTCTTTCCTCATTCTCCTGGCCTCTCTCTCTCACATCTTAAAGTCCTTTAAGATTTTACTTATTCGCGTGTGTGTGTGTGTGTGTGTGTGTGTGTGTGTGTGTGTGTGTGTACAGGTGTGTGTACAGGTGCACCTTGTGCCACAGTGTGTATGTAGAGGTCAAAGAACAACGTTCAGGAACTGGGTCTCTTTCACCTTCTGAAACAGCAGGATCTCTCTTGCTCCACTGCTGTGCTGTGTACTCCAGGCTAGCTGGCCCACAGCTTCCCTGCAATTCTCCTGGTCCTACCTCCCATCTCTCAGTAGGTGTGCTGGGATTAAAAATACACCTGGCTGTTTTACATGGGTTCCAGGGATTGAATTCTAGTTGTCAGGCTTGTTTGGCTAGTACTCATACTCACTGAGTCATCTCCCTAGTCTTTTATTTATTTATTTTGTGTGTGTGGGGGGAAATGGGGTGGGTTCTCATGTAGTCCAGGTTGGCCCTGAAGCCACTATGTAGCTATAGGTGGCCTTGAACTCTTGATCCATCTGTCTGTATCTCCCAAGTGCTGGGATAATAGGTATGTACCACCATGACTGGATCAAAGCATAGGTGTGATATAACTGCATTCTCTAATGGAGATGATTTGCACTTTCTTTTCTTTTTTCTTTTTTTTTTTTTTTGTTTTATTTTGTTTTTTCAAGACAGGGTTTCTCTATGTAGTTTTGGTGCCTGTCCTAGATCTCGCTCTGTAGTCCAGGCTGGCCCTGAACTCACAGAAATCCACTTGGTTTTGCCTCCCGAGTGCTAGGATTAAAGGCATGCGCCACCACCGCCTGGCTGATTTGCACTTTCTAATTGAGATCTGACTCATTTTCCAACCATCTCAGCTTACAAATCTTATTACAATATTCATTCCCTTCAGGCAATGAATAGGTAGGATCTAGGAGAGGAGAGAGAAGACATCACTTCATTTAGGAATGTGTGGAGAGAGAGCAACTTGCTCAGAGGTTACTAAGTGCCAAAACGTCAGATACCCAGAATTCCTTTAGAACTCTGTGTGCTGGAAAAAGAGGAAGCAGGGGTGGGCGGTACACTGGGATACTTTCATGTGGACTTGCACATGCCCTCAATGCTGGTCTTAATGTTTTACAGACCCAGAGAAAAGCTGCCAGCCAGTGCTAGAGACCCTGCGTCAGGCAATGGAAGGCACCATCTATGCCCGAAACACCTTAGAATTACAGACACTGCAGCCTACAGTCAACTTCCTTGCCACTGCTACCGTACCAGGCTACTCTGAGCGCCCACTTTGTCCACGTCTATTCCGACTCTTCACAGTGCTAGCCCTGGACAACATGACCCAGGACACCCTTTTGAGCAGGCACGTACCTAGTATCCAAGCCTGGCTTGAGCGCTTCCCTTCTGTGGAGCGGGAGCAAACTTTGGCAAGAGCCCTTGTCAGGGCTTCAGTGGAGGCTTGGGAGGCTGTGTGCAACTGCTTCATGCCTTCACCTCTCCGCCCACATTACCGATTTTCCCTGCATTCTGTGAGCCACATTCTGGGAAGCCTGCAGCTGCTGCCTACCAGAATGGGCTCACGAAGTTTTGTAGATGTTTTTCATCAGCAGGAGCACCTGCGCCGGGTGTCTGGCCTGCGTGGCACTCGCCTGACTATCATGATGTCTATGCGCATCATGGTGCGTCTTTGGTTACATGAGGCACAAAGAACATTTTGTGACCGGCTGGACAGTGAAAAGGAACGTTCCCATTGTGCTAAGCTGCTTCTAGAAGTAGCTCAGAGTGTCTTCTGTTGTGGGTCAGAGGCTCAGCCCTTGGTCAAGGACTATGAGGAGGAAGTGGAGGAGGAGAAAGTACCAGAAGTAGAATCTGAAGGAGAAATAGCCCAGTGGGAGGACTTAAGCAACAGTGACAGTGAATCAGAGGACGAAGAGGATGCGTATGGCATTCAGGCCACAACAGGCTCATTACTCAGTGATAGCAGTGTCGCACCATTCTCCATAAGGTCAGTAAACAAGGAGAACACCGAAAGTGTAAGTCAGATGGCTGAGCAGGAGGAAGATATAAGGGCTCCTAGTGGTAAGCTCCAGTCAGGAACACCCAAGAGTGAGTGGCAGGCGGTATCCCAGATGGACTTAATTTTACCCTTGTTGCTGCCTGTGTTGCTGCTCTATCCCCAGGAGAAGCCCTCAGACCTGGTGTTCAGTCTGGAACTTACACTGGGATCTAACTTTGAGAGTACCAACTTGTACTTGGAACGGCAGTGGGAAAACCTGGAAAAGCAGTTGGCTGCCTCAGCTGTTCGACTGAAGCTGAACCCCCACCTTGCTCAGTGCCACATGATGACCCAGCATGTGGCTCGCCTGGTCCGAGTTCTGGCTAGGCCGAGGCAGCATGGCCTACTGCTCTCAATGGCTCGGGGTACTGGGCGCCATACAGCCATCAGCCTGGCTTCTAGCATATGTCAGGCTCACTTCTTTCATTTGCCATCTGAGTCTGAAGAAGCTATCTTCCAATGTCTCCGAGATGCCAGCTGGTGTGCTGGAATATTAAACCAGCCAGTGGCTCTTCTGGTGCCTGAGAGTGTGAATGTTGCTATCCTTCACCGACTGGTGGCCCTGGCAACCTCAGGTAGCTTCCCTGATCAATACACAGAGGCAGATCTGGATAACATCGAAGAACATCTCCCCAAGGAGAACCTTGTGGTCAAACTTATCATTAAGAAGGACACAATATTGCATAGGTAAGGCCCAGAACCCGTCTATGTCAGCTCTGCTTTTACTCTTTCCTGGCCAAAAAGATGAGAAAAAGCAATAGGCTGCCATGAGAACTCTGAAGATGTGGGCTAAAGGGTCAGGGTTGAACAAGGGTCTGGATGTGTAAATAGGTCTAAAGGAAGATCACAGCTGAGTCTCTGACTTACAGGTTCTATCAGCAAGTGTGTAGCAACTTGCATATGTTCTTCTTGATGGGAGATGACCAAGCCCAAAAGCAGCTGCCCTCCACTCTTCTCCTGAGGCTCCTTCAACTGGCCACTGCCTGTGTTGACCGCTATGAACCCTGGGACCAAGCTTCCCTGGTCCGGATTGCCCAGTCCCACCTAGAGAATGTTCAGAATTTACCTCTTGATGATGGTGAGCCACTTTTCATTTGTTCCTTCCACTCATCCCAACCAGCTAGTGAGAGTTACTGCCCAGGGTGGTCTCTCGCATCCTCTTGATCTGATATCTCACTCTTCTTCTCCCTCTCCTTGCTTTCTGACTAATATTTTCTACTTCCCTTCCTTTCTCATTCCCCTCCAATCACAAGGCCAGACCAAAACTATATCCATTGCAGGCTCCTTGAAGTGCCCAGATATCAAGACCTTAATTCCCAATGTGGCCAAAATCATGGCTCTCATCCATCTTTCATCTGCCTATTACCATCAGCACATGTGCCCTGCATTGCCACTTGTCACCCCCAAGACATTCCTAGACTTCTTGGATATGTTCCTACTGCTCCAGCAGCAGATGATCCTGAAGATGAGAATGAGGGCCCGGCGGTAAGCATCCCATCCATGCAGTTTGCTTCTGTCTGCTCTCTCTTGAGTCCACTCACTGGTATATTGTGTTTCTAGTATCCACTCTGCCCTGAAGACTCTAAGGCTGCTGGTTGAGAGGCAAAGCACCCAAACTAACCTGGTAACTGACCTGGAAAAGGAGCTAAAGGGCTCCTACAAGGTAAAGAGGGAGAAGACTGTGAGATTTACATGGTTGTGTCAAAGCAAGAGAGCAAAAAGGGAGGGACATGGCAGAACCAGCCTAAGTGAATCTTGGTTCTTGGTTCTTTTAGTCTTCTTTTCCCTGGAGGATCTCTCTAATCCCTGATGTCTCTTCCATTAGAGAGCCCAGGGCCCAAAGTTTCCCAAGATACAGCTCAGACTAGATTGACATTTCTTTTTTTTTTCTTTTTTTTTGGTTTTTCGAGACAGGGTTTCTCTGTGTAGCTTTGCGCCTTTCCTGGAGCTCGCTTTGGAGACCAGGCTGGCCTCGAACTCACAGAGATCCGCCTGGCTCTGCCTCCCGAGTGCTGGGATTAAAGGCGTGCGCCACCACCGCCCGGCTAGATTGACATTTCTAATACAGAAATCTCAAGTGTCTGCCCCTGGGTGCCTTTAATGCCTTGACTCAGTACAGTTTGGTATGCCCCTGAGATCTCTGGATTCCTTATCCTCTTCAGTAGAGTTCATGACAGTCATCTGCTTTCCCCCTCCATATCACTTTGTTTGTACCTTTCTTCCAAAAAAGCACCAAATGTATAAGGCTATGGTGAACAATGGGAAAATGTGGATGAGTAATGGAAACGGGGAAATACACTATAGTAAAGAAACAGAATCATATTTATTTATTATTTATTTAAATTTTTTTCATTTTACATACCAACCACAGTTCCCCCTCTGTTGTACAAAATCTAATAGGTCTTACAATAAAAAAAAAAAAACAGAGTCAGATATTGGGGTAAATGCTGAAAAAAATAGAGATACAAAGGAACAAGCCACTGCCACATCTCACCTCGCCAACTCCATGAATCATCTGATGTAATGCTTCTGAGTCCTCAGTCAAAAAGCTTCCAGCTGAAAAAGCCTTAGTTCCTGTCGCCTCACACCTTATATACCTTTCTCCACAAAGCTATATTACTTCTTTCCTAGTGCTGGAATTAAAGGCGTGTGTGCTTCCCAAATACTGGTAGCAAAGGCATGAGATCTCAAGTGCTGGTATTAAAGGCATGTGATATCCAAGTACTAGGATTAAAGGTGTGTGCCACCACTGCCTGGCTCTGTTTCTTTCCTAGCCTGAATCAATCTCGTGTAGTCCAGAGTGGCTTTGAACTCACAGAGATCCAGATGGATCTCTGCATCCTGATTGCTAGGATTAAAAGTGTGTGCCACCTCTGCCTGGCATCTATGTTTAATCTAGTGGTTTGTTCTGTTCTCTGATCTTCAGGCAAATTTTATTAGGGTATACAATATATCACCACACCCCTCCCTCCCCTTCTCCTGTTCCCCCCACCTCTCTCCTATCTCCCCCCTCCCCCATCCACTCCTCATAGGGGATAAGGCTTCCCTTGGGGAGTAAACACAGGCTGGCATACCAAGTTGGGGCAAGACCAAGTCCCTCCCCACTGCATCAAGGCTGAAAGGTATCCCATCATAGGAGATGGGCTCCAAAAAGCCAGTTCATGTAACCAGGATAAGTCCTGGTCCCACTGCCAGGGGCCCCACAAACAGATCAAGCCACACAACTTGTCACCCACATTCAGAGGGCCTAGTTCAGTCCCATGCTGGTTCCTCAGCTGTGAGTCCAGAGTCCCTGAGCTCCCACTAGCTCAGGTCAGCTCTGTGGTTTTCCCCATCACGATCTTGACCCCCCCCCCCCCTTGCTCCTATAATCCATCCTCCCTCTCTTCAGCTGAACTCCAGGAGCTCAGATCAGTGCTTGGCTGTGGGTCTCTGCATCTGCTTCCATTAGTTACTGGATGTAGGTTCTATGATGACAATTACGGTAGTCACCAATCTGATTACAAGGGAATGCTAGTTCAGGCACCCTCTCTGCTATTGCTAGGTGTGATGGTATTGTGTTCCCCAAAATATTGTGTACCTTAATAAACTTATCTGGGGTTAGAGAACAGAAAAGCCACGATACTTAGGCTAGAAAATGTTAGCACACGCCTTTAATCCTAGCATTCCAGAGACAGAAATCCCTCTGGATCTCTGTGAGTTCAAGGCCGCATTGGAAACAGCCAGGCATGGTGACTCACGCCTTTAATCCCAGAAAGCAGCCTTTAATCCCAGGGAGTGGTGATAGAAAGCAGAAAGGTTTATAAGGCGTGAGGACCAGAAACTAAAGGCATTTGCCTGGTTAAGCATTTGACTGGTTAAGCATTCTGGCTTTGAGCAGCAGTTCAGCTGAGAGCCATTGAGATGAGGACTCAGAGGCTTCCAGTCTGAGGAAACAGGACCAGCCGAGAAGTTGGCCAGGTGAGATAGCTGTGGCTTGTTCTGGTACTCTGACCTTCCAGCATTTACCCAATAACTGGCCTCGGGTTTGATCTTATTAATAAGAACTGTTAAGATTCATGCTACAGCTAGGAGTCTTAGCTAGGGTCATCCTTATGGGTTCCTGGGGATTTCCCTAGCACTGGGTTTCTCCCTAACCCCATAATGGCTTCTTCTATCAAGATATCTCTTTCATTGCTCTCCCTCTCCATTCTTCCCCCAACTCAGCCATCTCAATCCCTCATGATCCCATTCCCCCATCCCCTCCCCTCTATCCCCTCCTATTGTACCCAGGAGATCTTAATTATTTCCCCTTTCTGGATGATCCATGTGTGTTCCTCTAAGGGTCCTCCTTTTTACCTAGCTTCTCTGGGGTTGTGGATTGTAGTCTGGTTATCCTTTGCTTTGTGTCTAATATCCACTTGTGAATGAGTACAAACCATGTTTATCTTTCTGGGTCTGGGTTACCTCACTCAGGATGATTTTTTTCTAGTTCCATGCATTTGCCTACAAATTTCATGATGACATTGTTTTTTTAATGCTCAGTAATACTCCATTTTGTAAATGTACCAAATTTTCTTTATCCATTCTTCGGTTGAGGGACATCTAAGTTGTTTCCAGGTTCTGGCTATTATGAATAATGCTGCTATGAACATGGTTGAGCAAGTGTCCTTGTGGTATGGTTGAGCATCCTTTCGGTATATGCTCAAGAGTGGTATTGCTGGATCATGAGGTTGATTAATTCCCAATTTTCTAAGAAACTACCATACTGATTTCCAGAGTGGCTGTACAAGATTGCACTCCCACCAGCCATGGAGGAGTGTTCCCCTTACTCCACATTCTCTCCAACATAAGCTGTCTTCAGTGTATTTGATCTTAGCCATTCGGACAGGTATAAGATGGTATCTCAGAGTTGTTTTGATTTGTATTTCCCTAATGGGTAAGGATGTTGAGCAATTCCTTAAATGTCATTTGGCCATTTGAGATTCTTCTGTTGATAATTCTCTGTTTAGATCTGTACCCCATTTTTTAATTGTATTATTTGGTTTGTTGATGTCTAGTTTCTTCAGTTCTTTATATAAATTGGAGATCACCCCTCTGTCAGATGTGGGGTTGGCAAAGATCTTTTCCCATTCTGTAGGCTGCTGTTTTGTCTTATTTACCATGTCCTTTGCCTTACAGAAACTTTTCAGTTTCAAGAGGTCCCATTTATTAATTGTTGCTCTCAGTGTCTGTGCTACTGATGTTATATTTAGGAAGTGGTTTCCTGTGCCAATGTGTTCAAGGCTACTTCCCACTTTCTCTTCTATCGGATATATGTTGATGTTTTTGACCTATTTGGACTTGAGTTTTGTGCATGGCGATAGATATGGATCTATTTACATTCTTCTACATGCCGCCATGCAGTTTATGCCAGTACCATTTGTTGAAGATGCTTTCTTTTTTCCATTGTACAATTTTGGCTTCTTTGTCAAAAATTGGGTGTTCACAGGTGTGTGGATTAATGCCAGGGTCTTCAATTAGATTCCCTTGATCCACATGTCTGTTCTTAGGCCAATATCAAACTGTTTTTATTACTATAGCTCTATAGTAGAGCTTGAAGTCAGGGATGGTGATGCCTCCGGAAGTTCCTTTATTGTACAGGATTGTTTTGGCTATTCTGTTTTTTTGTTTGTTTGTTTTTCCATATGAAATTGAGTATTATTCTTTCCAGGTCTGTGAAGAATTGTGTTGAGATTTTGATAAGGATTGCATTGAATCTGCTTTTGATAAGCTTGCCATTTTTTTTTACAATGTTGATCCTACCTATCTAAGAGCATGGGAGATCTTTTCCATTTTCTGATATCCTCTTCAAAGACTTAAAGTTCTTGTCATACAGGTCTTTAACTTGATTGGTTAGAGTTACCCCAAGATATTTTATATCATTTGTGGCTATTGTAAAGGGTGATGTTTCTCTGATTTCTTTTTTATCATTTATCATTTGTATATAGGAGGGCTACTGATTTTTTTTTGAGTTAATCTTGTATCCTGCCACATTACTGAAGGTATTTATCAGCTGTAGGAGTTCCCTGGTAGAATTTTGGGGGTCACTAATGTATACTATCATATCATCTGCAAATAGTGAAAGTTTGACTTCTTCCTTTCCAATTTGTATCCCCTTGATCTCCTTTTGTTGTCTTATTGCTATAGCTAGGACTTAGAGTACTATATTGAATAGATATAGAGAGGGTATACAGCCTTGTCTTGTTCCTGATTTTAGTGTAATTGCTTTGAGTTTCTCTCCATTTAGTTTGATGTTGGCTGTTGGTTTGCTGTATATTGCCTTTATTATGTTTAGGTATGCTCCTTGTATCCCCAATCTCTCCAAGACCTTTATCATGAAGGGGTGTTGGATTTTGTTGAAAGCTTTTTCAGCATCTAATGAGATGATCATGTGTTTTTTTTCTTTTAGTTTGTTTGTATGGTGGATTGCATTGACAGATTTTCATATGTTGAACTATTACTGCATCTCTGGGATGAAGCCTGCTTAATTTGATCATGGTGGATGATTTTTTTTTTATGTGTTCTTTAGTTTGGTTTGCCAGTATTTTATTAAGTATTTTTGCATCAGTGTTCATGAGGGAGATTGGTCTGTACTTCTCTTTCCTAGTTGCGTCTTTGTGTGGTTTGGGTATCAGGGTAACT